CGTGAGGTTAGAATGATTTGTCACGAATCATTCTTCCTTGTAACTGTCCCAATAGGGCCCCAGCCATAGCCTGAGTGAGACGTGAGTGTTTGGAGGAGGGAAGATGGAGCCAGATGACAGATGGGTTTTATGGTGAACAAAGAAGTGAGTTCTTAAGACCTGGGTCAGCACTCCTCCAGGATTCTTGGGTTGAGCATTACAATCGCCTGCAGCCCTTACTAACACACTAGGACTCCACCCCAGACCAATTAAATCAGAATTTTTGCCAGTAGGGACCCAGGCAGCAGAATGTTGTAAACGCTTCCTGGGTATTTTTAGTGTATAACTGGTGTTGAGAAACACCGACCTAGGCACTCAAAGTACCGTAGTGGGTTCACAGGTATTTCAATTATTGTGCACTAAATTAAACAACAGTAAAATCAGGTTGTAGCAACAGAAAGAAGTCAGGTATGTAGGGTTGAATTTAAGTCAAAACTGAACATTTTTGAAAAAGATTTTTTTTTATTTTTAGAGAGGTGGAAGGGAAGGAGGAGGAGAGAGAGAGAAAGATTGATGGGTGAGAGAAACATCGGTTGCCTCTCAGGTGCCCCAAGCTGGGGATCCAGCTGACAACCCAGGCATGTGCTTTGGCCAGGACCTTTGGGTAGCAGGCTGGCGCCCAGTCCACTGAGCCATACCAGCCAGGGCAAAACTGAACATTTTTCTTAAAAAAACCTATACATTTCCAAGAGAGATTAAAGATATCTCTTTCTTCGAAAGATCTTTAGATTAGCTAGAATCAAGAAAGCAACATGTTTTTCTTAGTGTGTTGGTATTTTGGATAGGAATTTTTAAACGTCTGGTGAAATTTAGGAGATTGTTGGAGGGACAGAATAGCTTGGTCAGAATCAGTATTTTCCCCAGGCGTATAGTTGTGGCATGTAAGTGGAAAAACAGATACAAATCTGAATATGTACTTTGACCATAAATATATAAAAACAAAGAAACATGGAAAATGCCTATGAATAAAGAAACCTCATGATACCAAATTCTATATATGAGGATGATTTATATTTTGAAAATACAACTGTACTTACAGAAAAATACAAAAGGAAAATTATAAAAAAGCCAAATACCCTTCACTTTTGGGAAGAAAGATGGCCTCTTATATGTTCATATCTATGTTTTTGAAAAGATGATGTTATTTTGGAACTGGAAAAGAAAACATATGAAACACTCAGAAACGCTCAGAACAAAAACCATGTGAAGGAAATAGAGATAAATATAATTAGAAGTGGATTTGGTGAGAAGGGCTCATGAGTATTCTCATCTTTCAATTATTTTTCCTATTGAATTTTTTTGCTGTATTAAGAGTATACCTCTTTTTATAATTGGAATAAAATAAACTATTTAGAAGTAAAGATCAAATCCTATCTCTTTGTTATGACTTTATTATTTGGCAAAGAGAGTTGGGTGGAGCACTCACAGTTTAAAGTCCAGGAATCAGTTTAGGAGCTGGCAAACATGTTCTGTAAAGGGCCAGATAGTAACTAGTTTAGGTCCCGTGGGCCTACGGTCTCTATTGCAACCACTCAGCCCTGCCATCACAGGGCAAGAGATGTAAGCAGTAATTAAATGGATGAGAGCAGCTGTGTTCCAAAAAATCCCTTTGTTTATGGATAATGACCTTTGTACTTCATATACCTACAATGCATATGTCATGAAATATTCTTCATTTGATTCGTCCCAGCCCCTAACCATTTAAAAATGTATTGTAAAACCATCCTCAGTAATGAAAGAATTATAGGAGTACACACAGAATATTGTAGGACCACGTGGGAGGGAGAGTAATTCTACGCATGGAACAATAGTTTATTGGGGAAATTGTTAAGAAACAGTGTGGTAGGGAGACTTATTAGAGAGTTGTCATAGAACAAACAAGCATTTCAAAAGACAAGTAGTTAAAAATACTGTAGATTAAGTCAGTAGGCAACAGTAATGAGAACTTACCTTCGTGGAAATCGCAAACTTTCTAACAGTAAATAAGTCAAGAGAAAAAACTTTATTAAGAAATTAGTCCTGAAGAAAATCCCAACGCCATGGGCTGGAGGCAGCCACTTTTCCCACAGGGCACACCGTTGTTCCTGGTTTTCACTCCCCTGAAAACCTCTTCTAGATTACCGTACTTTCTCTCATTGCAGCAAAAATGTTTAGTGAGTGAAATCAGAAGCAGTTGCTTCACAGTCAACATAAAATGTAGAAAATATTGGAAGACCTATTTTTAAAAATTATGCAGAAAGCAAATTAATTAAATAAGTACTGGCTTGAGACAATTTGTGTATTACGAAATGCCAATATTTATCAGGCTAGCAGCTAACGATGTGCCTTCTTTTAACTTAACAAGTACATATTTTCTTTTAAATCCATCCTGAATTCCCCACACAATAGATAACTAACTTCATAATTTTGCTGAGTACCCACTGAGCTTCTTTTTAAAATAAATATCAAAATGCATGAATGGACAAACCCATGCCATACAAACTATCCAAGTTCCAATCCAGAATTCCTAAGTGCCCCAGAGGTCAGAGGAGGTTAGAGTAAGGGCCAGAGTTAAAGGCCCAGTATCTCTGTTCATTCTTGAACTACTTTATTTATCTCTGTAATTCTAGTTACAAGCAGCAACCCTAGATTCTGAGTACCTTTCAAAAATGGGGTGCCTAAGAGCATTAAAGAAAAGTAAGCTTTCACCATCTTTATGCCTAAATTTCTAAGCTACAACCTTGCTGGGAAAATGCAGAGTTAAGGAAGTGGAGGGCTATGTTTCACACCCATTTTTAAAACACAACATACCATTTTTGAAGGATGGTAGGCTTCCATGTGTTACATTACAGAAACCTGAAAAGGGAGGGTTAACCAAATACCATTTGGACCTAAAATTAGCTTGAAACATCTTCTAGCCAGCTCAGTTTTAGTGTAGTTCAAATGCAGAAATCTGCATTCCAGACTCAATGCAAGATGACCTATAAATTTTGGATGTTAATTCTTTATCAAATGTATCGGCAAATATCGTCTCCCATTCTGTGGGGTCTCTATTTTGTTGATAATTTCCTTTACTCTGCAAAAATTTTTCAGTTTGATGTAGTCCCATTTTATTCTTTTGTTTCTCTTGCCTGAGGAAATCTATCAGGTAAAATAGTGCTACAAGCAATGTGTGAGATTTTATTGCCTATGTTTTCTTCCAGGGTTTTTATGGCCTTGGGTTTAACATTTAAGTCTTTAATCCATGTTGAATTTTTTCTTATGTGTGGTGTAACAAGGTGATCTAATTTCATTTTTCTGCACGTATCTGTCCAATATCCCAACACCATTTATTGATAAACTATCTTTAGCCCATTGTATGCGCTTACTTCCTCTGTTGAATATTAATTGAGTATAAAGGTGTGGATTTATTTGTGGGCTATCTATTCTGTTCCATTGATCTATGTGTCTGTTTCTATGCTAGACATGCTGTTTTGATTATCGTGGCTTTATAGTTTGATATTAGGTAGCTCGATTCCTCTTTGTTCTTCTTTCTCAGGATCACTCTTGCTTTGTGGGGCCTTTTGTGGTTCCACAAAGAAGTATCACCTCACACTGGTCAGGATGGCTATCACCAGTAAATCAACCAACAAGTGCTGGGAGGATGTGGAAAAAGGGGTACCCTTTTGCACTGTTGGTGGAAATGCAGACTGGTGCCGCCAGTGCAGGAAATAGTATGGAGATACCTCAAAAAAGGACCTGCCTTTTGACCCAGCCATCCCACTTCTAGGACTATACCTTAAGAGACTGAAGACACTAATTGGAAAGAATATAAGCACCCCTATGTTCATTGCAGTATTGCAACATTGTTTATAATCACCAAGATATGGAAGCAACCCAAGTGTCCATCAGTAGATGAGTGGACAAAATAACTATGGGATATTTACACAAAGAATGCTACTCAGCGGGTAAGAAAGAAAAGTTTTACCCTTTGCCACAGCATGGATGGACCTGGAGAACATTGTGCTAATTGAAATAAGCCAGTCAGAGAGACAAATACCATATGATTTCACTCATACCGGGAATCTAATGAACAAATTGACCTAACAAGCAAAATAGAGACCGACTCATAGATGGAAAGCAGGATGACAGCTATGGCAGAGGGGGGGCAGTTAGTGGGTGGAGGGATCCAGCAAAAAAGAAAAAGGACTCATGGGCAGGGACAATCATGTGATGATGGGTGGGGGCCAGGGGAGAGTGGCGTATAAGGGGGATAAATGGTAATAGAAAATATACAAAAAAAAAAGTAAAATAAAATAAAATATTTATCAAAAAAGATGGCCTTCTAGCTGCAGTCCCAGTTTCAGTATTTCATCAAGCACAAACCTTCGTTTTAAAAATACCGCACTTCCCCGGGCGGGGCACATGCCTGGGTTGCTGCGGGCCAGGTCCTCAGCAGGCAGGCGGTTGTGTGTGTGAGAGGCAACCAATGTTTCTCTCCCTCTCTTTCTAAAAATAAATAAATACAATCTGTAAAAGAAAAGAATTCAGTTCCTTAGTTTTCTTTAAACTACATGTCTGTGGTTAAAATATTCATTGCTCATCAAGGCGCGTCTTCCAACGTGCAATCTGAAATTAAGTACCAAGGGGTCAAAGATGGCCATAGTTTTACAAAGCCTGAGTTGTTTTTTTTTTTAATCCAGTACTTTTCGGGCATCTTTAAAAATTTTTCAGATAAAAAAGAAGCGTCATTTGTTTTAGGGTACTCTTCTGCGAGAGAGAACACGAACCAAACTCCGAGCCAGGGAGAGCAAACGTCATCAACCGCTGCCCCACGAGCTCCGAGTACCTGACGGCACGCCCACCTCGGTGGCCCTTTGGCCCCGCCCACCGCGGGCGAGGGTCACTAGAACAGTCGCTGGAACTTGGCCCGGAGCTTCACGGAAGTTTCCGTCCTTGGATCCAAGGGGAAGGGCCCATGGGCGGCCCCGGAAGTGACGCAGGGCGCACCGTCCATTTTGTAGAACGCTAGAGCAGCTAAGTGCGTCAGTTGTGGAGAGACATAGACGAGTTAAGTCCTGGTCTGTGGGGAGGCAGACGGCTCCGTCGCAGACTACGGACTTCTCTTGGGTCTCAGCAGCCAAAGATCCTGTCCGGTAGGTGAGTGGCTCACTTTGAGGGAATGGCTTCTCGGATCGAGGCTTCTTCATGGCCACTCAGATCGCGAGTGGCCAAGGCTGCTCTTTTTGCGGAGGACGGCGTCCAATGAGCGCAGTTTATCCGAGGTGGGCGCTGGGGCACGTCTCCCTTTGGGTATTGTTTGAGGGGAAGCGAAGGTGGAAGGGCGGTTTTGGTTGGTTGTTTTTATGGAGGGGTAGTGTGCCCTTCCCTGCCTCTTCACTAGCTGAAACCTTGGAGTGGTGGGCTTTGCCTGGGGTGTGGTTCGGGGGTTCCGTGGGCGGGTATGGTTACTCCAAAACAGTGGCGGAGGGGAAGGGGGAGGGGGAGGGAGAATGGACTTTGGCACGGCGGCTCTCCCCACCGCAGCCCTAGGGCTGCCATTTTGTGGCTGCTTAGCGTCCGCCCGCCGCCTTGTGCGCAGGCGCGGCCGTGGCGTCGCGAGATTCCGGCTTCCACCCGCTGTGACGCTCCCGAGAGGCGGCGATGCGCACGAGGCCTGTCGCCATTGGGCTGGCCTTGCGGAGGGCGGGGCCGGCTCCGCCCGCACTTCTCGGCCTTTCCTAACTGCGGCAGATGGGAGGGGGCCAGAAGAGCCGGGGAGAGTGTGAGGCTGCGCAGTTCCAGAGGCGGCAGTGGGCGTTGCGGTTGCTGCGTTCTGGGCCCAGGGAAGGATCGTGTTGAGAGCCGAGTTTTAATTTTGTCTGCAAGGGACCTGGCCTAATAAGAGGCACTCTTGGCACTCTTGTTTAGAACGTCACCCGGTAAACATTTTATTTTATGCCGTTCATGTTTTTGAGCCCTTGACTAGGCATTCTTCTGACATTCACTGGTGTTTTCTCAATTGAACTATTTTTCTAACAGGAAATAATTAGCCGGGCGTCATGAGTGGCTGTCGAGTATTCATCGGGAGGCTAAATCCATCGGCCAGGGAGAAAGATGTGGAAAGATTCTTCAAGGGCTATGGACGAATAAGAGATATCGATCTGAAAAGAGGCTTTGGTTTTGTGGTAAGTATTTGGAACTGATTGGGTTTTCTATAGTTAAGTTGATAAAGATTTTTGATCTTACTGAGTCCAGGTAGAGGATCTATAGAAAAAGTTATGCAGTGTTAAGGCAGTGAATTTTCCTAAGGAATAAAAGCACTTCCCTGCTGACTCTGGTGCAGCCGTAGCAGACTGGAGGGAAACCACTCCTGGTCTCTTGTCAGTTAGGCTTACTATCCCTCGGGCACTGTCGTTAAGACTTTTCTCATCTGGTACGTGTTTTTAGTACTTTGAACATGTTGTAGAATGCACTTCTAAGACTGTGCTTGGCATTATACTTTCTTTGTGCTTATATTTTAGGAATTTGAGGATCCTAGGGATGCTGATGATGCTGTATATGAGCTTGATGGAAAAGAACTCTGCAGTGAAAGGTGAAGATCTTAGTTTTATAATTAGCATTGTAAAATAGAGTGGACTAGATACGCCGGGATATTTTCCTTACAGAGCTTACGGGGGATAGTGAAGATTTTTCTTCCCTTTCAACAGGGTTACCATTGAACATGCTCGGGCTCGATCTCGAGGTGGAAGAGGTAGAGGACGCTATTCTGACCGTTTTAGTAGTCGCAGACCTCGAAATGATAGACGGTATGTGAGGGTGGATGGCTGTTTTGAATAGTTACTACTGCTTGAGTATTTGACGATTAAGAACCATTAGCAACAAGTGATTCTGGTTTTTACCAAAAAGTCAGTGCCCTCAGTCCTGTGTTAGTCCACTGTTTCTGTTCAGTCTGTATAATAAATGATAAAACAATTCAGAAACAGTTGATGAAATCATTTGAGTGTTTTATCATACCTGATTGCTTAAACTTCTTTGCAGTTGAGCAAAATAAGTGCACATTACTCTCTTTCTTCCATTGTGAATACTCATTTTCTTCTTTAGAAATGCTCCACCTGTAAGAACAGAAAATCGGCTTATAGTTGAGAATTTATCTTCAAGAGTCAGCTGGCAGGTTTGTAGAAATTCAGTTTTGAGATATTTTAATGTGGCTTTTTAAAAGAATAATGGAATGGGTAGCTAATATTTTATTAATATTTTATTAAAAGTAATTCTATTTTTAATTAATGGACTTACTGTAATTTTAAAATTTTAATTAAATGTAACTGGGGGATATTTCAAACTTTAATATTAGTGATCAAATGTAAATGTTTTGAGGATATTTTTTCTTGTTCTTAAAATCAATTTTAACCAAATATTAAACCCTTTATTTGCCAGCCTATCTGTGTCGTTGGCCTTATGACGAGGAGTGCCTGTGGGTTATCCTAATCGTTGTCTTGGTCACTCTTGGTTGGGCCTGGTTGACTTTGCCAGTCAGCTCCTACAGTGATCAGTTGGCCACCTCTAGATCTGTGTTTGCCGGTCTAGACGTAATCGGGGCACTTACTTGAAGTGCCAGGTCGCAGCGATCCCAGAGCGCTGATAACGTGATCTGATTCCTAAGTTGAGAGCTGTCTTCCTGTAACGCTTCCGAATAAGAGGTCCTGATCGAAAAGAGTTCAAAGATACGAAATTAGTTGGTCGTTGGAATCCTGTTCGCAGTAAAGTGGTCCTTGGTAACTGCACAAGAGTAGAACGTGTCTGCATCCGCCAGTAGTCTGCTAATAGGGAGGGCTGTGCGATTAAAGGCTTCCATCGATTGGGTAGTGTCCTTCGAGTGGGTGGCGAAGAGCCAGTCGGGCATATGTCATGAACGTTTCTTCGACCGATTAACGGTTTGCTGCTTGACTAGCCTAGGGAAATAATAATAAAGGTAAAGTAAACTTTTTTAATGACATATGGGGCACAAAATAACGTCTTGTAAATATTCTGTTTTTAAATATAAAGTTTCTACTTTAGTCTTTACTTTTAAAATATGTACTGTTTCTTTTTGTTTGTTCTTTTTGTTTTTTGTTTGTTTGTTTTCCTTTTGTATTGAGCTCAGTATAGACTAATACTACTTAATGTTAAAATCTGAATTTCCTTTAGCATTTTGCTTAAAAGCAATATGCTTTTATTTCGTGCCCTTAAATAGATTAATTTTTGAATTCTGATAGAATACAAGTGTGGTAAATGCCATGTTTGTACTTTATCTAACATCTTCTCTTTCAGTAGTCTTGTTTTTATATTATGTTGTTTGTGTGTCATGTTTCCATTTCTCTGCTTAACACAATCATCTTGTGTTAAGGACCTCAAAGATTTTATGAGACAAGCTGGAGAAGTAACCTTTGCAGATGCACACCGACCTAAATTAAATGAAGGGTGAGTATATGCTGAAGATTATAAGCCTTCAAAAATATCTTGGAAAATTTTACAGTGACTGTTTCTGAATATACTTAAATTTGCAGATGCTCTTGGTTCTCAGGTGAGATTGCTTCTCCTGGGACATTTGGCAATGTCTGGCATGCGGATATAGGCCAGGGATGTTGTGGGAAAAGCCCCTTCCCAAAGATTTGGCCTAAAATGGCAACAGTTATATGAGGATGAGAAACCTTGCTCTAATCTGCGTTACCTATTGAGAATTAAAAACTCTTGATACAGCAATAGCAAAATGAATATAAAAGGTTAATTTAGATTCCTATAGCTTGTTGAGGCTATCAGGTGTACATAACTTTACAAATGGGTTTTTCCCCCTTTGTAGGGTGGTTGAGTTTGCCTCTTATGGTGACTTAAAGAATGCTATTGAAAAACTTTCTGGAAAAGAAATAAATGGGAGAAAAATCAAACTAATTGAAGGCAGCAAAAGACACAGGTAGCTCTCTTTAATACTTTTATATCAAAGTTTTGCTTAACGGATTTGTAGGGCCTGCCACTTACGTTGTGTTTTCTTTTCCTTCCCCTTCCCAGTAGGTCACGAAGCAGGTCTCGTTCCCGGAGCAGGAGTTCCTCTAGGTCTCGTAGCCGATCCCGTTCTCGGAGTCGCAAGTCTTACAGTCGCTCTAGGAGCAGGAGTCGGAGCCGGAGCCGGAGCAAGTCCCGTTCTGTTAGTAGGTCCCCTGCACCTGAGAAGAGCCAGAAACGTGGTTCTTCAAGTAGATCTAAGTCTCCAGCATCTGTGGATCGCCAGAGGTCGAGGTCCAGGTCCCGGTCCAGGTCCCGGTCCAGATCCAGATCCGTTGACAGTGGCAATTAAACTGTAAATAACTTGCCCGGGGGCCTTTTTAAAAAACAAAAACAAATTCCCAAAGCATACTTGCTAAAAATTCTGGTAAGTATGTGCTTTTTGTGGGGGTGGGATTTGAAGGGAGGTTGGGTTGGGCTGGATATCTTTGTAGATGTGGACCACCGGGGGTTGTTGAAAACTAATTGTATTAAATGTCTTTTGATAAGCCTTCTGCTCACATTTTTGTGAATGTCCGAAGTATATAGTTTGTGTATATTGACAGAGCTCTTTTATAATTAAAGCAAACTTAATTTTTTTGTACTAGAAAATATTTGAATATTTTAGTTCTTGGTTATTCAAATATGTTAATTCAGAATTAGTTTAATGTGTCAATTAAACTAATTAATAGCTTTGGACACTTAAAAGAGCTCTAAATTTGCTTGTACATCAAGGCTTAATTTGAGTTTTCCTTGTTAGGGTTAAGGGTGTCCTCTCACCCAACCCTTTAACAGCTGCCTCAGCTGCCTGACAAGGACATTAAAGCAGCTGTTTGTTATTGATAATAAAAGATTATAAAACTGCTTTTGTCTGTCTGAAGGATGTGTGCTATTTACTTCTTCCCACATCTACATTCAACACAGAATTTCTTGTAGAGAATCCTGGAGTTACTTGGTTAGGTTCTTCATATTTAAAAATTTAACTAGTACTTGACACATTTCTAGACTAGTCAAAAGATGGGCAAAGAAATCAGTGAAGTCTGAAGTGATAATGACTAACAATTTCACAGTTTCCTTTGTATGTGGCTCTCCCATGCTCTTCGCCTTTAACACACGACTTCTTTTGGCATCAGGTTACTTAGGTTTCTGTAGCTACCACAAGGGCAATCTGGGTCCTCACCAGGTAGCTCAGCACGTTACAGCATTGCCCCAATATGCTAAGGTTTCGGGTTCAATTCCTGGTAGGGCACATACAAGAATCAGCCAATGAATCCATAGATGGGTGAAACAGATGTTTGTTCTTTCTCTAAAATCGATACATAAAAATTCGGAAAGCAAATCGGACAATGCTTTATGCCTGACGTAGAAGCTGTAATAAAATTGTGATGGTCGGAGATCATCACATAAAGGTTTTGGGGTTTTTTTTATAGACCAGTGCACATGAATGCTTTTATGTGCTTTTTCTTGTGGTCCCAAGGCATGGATGTGACTATCTCTGTTCAGGGGAAATCAATAGTGAAAGCTGCCTAAGATTCTGTTTGTCTTTTAAAGTGCTAGAGCTTGCTTTCTGCAGGTAATGAGCTATTTCTTATAGGAACCTTGGAGACTGATTTAGACTTCTTAGTCCTGTTCGAGTGCTAGGCTGGATAAATGTTTGGTTAACTGAGTAACGTTTATTGAATGTTCAAAACTACTGTATAGTACCATTTTACTGGAGGAAATTCAAGGCTAAAGAGAGGAGCAAGTAAATGGACTAGTATTAGAACCCAGAAAGTCTAATTCCAGAACCCCAAAACCACACTTCAGTGCTGACTCAGCCCTAGCCCTACAGGGATTGTGAGGAAAGTACTAGGAAGATTGCTTTTGGTTTCCCCAAAGTGAGGGGATTTCACTAGGGGGAGTTGCTACTTGGTGGATTTGAAAGCTCTTTGGTACACTGGCATAAAGGCCTTTTTTGTGGTAAGACTAGAACTTGGGCCATGAAGTTGTGAGGCTGATTGTGGGGAGAGTTTATGTGGTACACTTGAACTTGCATGGGGAGGACACTGGCTTTATTTAAAATGTCAGAAGCTGCTCTGGTTGGTGTGGCTCAGTGGATTGAGTGAGTGCTGGTCTGCAAACCAAAGGGTTGCTGGTTTGATTCCCAGTCCAGGGCATGTGCCTGGGTTGCAGGCCAGGTTCCCATTAGGGGGCGCACAGGAGGTGACCACGTGATGTTTCCTTTTCCCCGTGTGTCTAAAAATAAAATCTTAAAAAATGCAGAAGCTAGTTTTTTCCGCTCAGTGGTGTTTTCCTGAGGCTGTGTAAGCCAAGCAGTTGCTGTCAAATGGAGAAGCAATTTTTTTTACCCTCTTGGGCTTTTAAAGTAGGAAACGGTGGTATGTGTATATATTTTGACGTTTTACCACTTGACACTTCCTTTCCCGCCCCTCCTAAATAGGTATAAGTGGCTTACTCTTGTGTTAGGCCAAAAAAAACTTTTTTTTCCTGTAAATTAAGACATTTTTCATTTTCACCAAAAACTGTATTGATTAGATATTTTGAGTATGTCTGCTATTTCTTGCATGGTAAAACATGGGTGGTTCTCAATTACCATCTCGATATTGTGATATCAGCCTCAACTGGTCTACCCTACTGGAGCATCTTCCAGGGTGAAACTGTAAATGACTTGACATGTTCAGTCAGTAACGGCGCCATCTTCATAAACTGCACAAATTTTTTTCTTTTGGTTTCAGTTGTGTGTTTACCTTTATTGAAATAAAACACTATGCTGAAAATGAATATTTCGTTTTCAATATTAAAATGGCTACATGAAAATTCAATTTTGATATTTTTTAATGCATGCTGGTACAATCTAACAAAATCGTTTCAAATGAAGTTAAAGACAACTTTAAGTGCTACTAGAACCATCTTAGAGAAAAAACCCAAATGAACTTGGCCAACCTAATAATACTACAGATAATTTGTTATACAGTGAGGCAATAAAATAAGACCCTTTAAACAAATGGTAGAGAAGATGGAGGTGGTTTGACTCAGCAAGTTGGCCTAAATTCGCAGATCCAGGACCCGAGAAGTCAGGAGTGTGGGTGTGAGCCCAAGCAGAGTTTTAACACCCACATTTTCTAGGGCATAGTGCAACTTTTGTGTTCTGTATGTTTATACGTTCCTTTCATCTAGTACTTGGGTAGCATCTTTTTTGCCTGCAATGTTTTTAAAAATATAGTTGGTATACAACATAAGCTTAGTTTCAGGTGTACAATAAAGTGATTCAACATTTATATACCTTATGATGTGATCACAGCTTAGCAGTGTCTCACCATGTGAATTTACCATAATACCACTTACTGTTTCTACCTTTTTTCACCAAGGGTAATAGATATCTTAAGTCTAGCCTTCCTTTCCTCAAAAAGATAAACTTGTTCTATTTTGTTGTACTTAACTAAGTTTCCTAGCAAATAATGTCTGTTAGATAGTAACAATTTAAATAGCTAGGTCAGTGTATAATAACTAAAAAAGGCTAAATGGTAGATCTTTTAGTGGCCCAAATCAGTGATTCTTCAGTTTGCTCTGATACTGGGAATATTGGTAGTCTTGAACATTTGCCAGACTGATGCGCTGAAATTGTCATAGTTTCAGTTGTATCTAATCATATTAAATGATAGAGAAATGACAGGCATGGTCATTAATTTGCAAGTGTTGTTAATATTCGTAGTTCTTTAATCTTGAGCCTAATGTTTGCATGTGAGCAATATGCAAAATGTTTAAATTTCATGGGAGGAAATTGGAATTTTAAGACTTCTAATTTGAGTATTTTCTTTGAATATACTTTGAAGAGAAACCACTCTTTGGCAGTAGCTTAAACTGAATTTTGAGGGAGCATAATGTGGACAGTACTGATACCTGATGAACTGATGGGACAGACTGTCAGTGAAAGGATTCTGTTGATTTTTATGTTTCTTACTGCCTGGCTTTTTCTTGTTAAAAGTTTCCCCCCTCTACTTCTGGGATTATATTCTTGCATTATGGCTGAGAGTTTGAGTTTGTCTTGTCCAGTTGCTCTTGCATATCATCATCATTGCTTTTATAGACTTGGTGTCACATTTGAGTTCTCAAGAGCGTTAATCCCAGTAGTGATGTCAAAAGGGCGGGAACAGTATCGGAATCTGTAAGGTTATTAGAAAAGACTTCTGAAGTCTATTCTACACCTGAGCATTTCTTTGTTTTTATTTTATTTTTTCATAAAACTTGGAACAGGATTTGGATATTTGATTTTTAGGAAATCATTTTTGACTAGTTTAGAAATCAAGTACCTTCTGTGTGCCTTTCAGGCGCTGTTCTAGAGATGGCAGGGGCAAAAGGCAACCTTAGTTCCTTTCGTAGGGTTGTCACAAGTCTCTTTTTTTTTTTAAAACAAGTATCCAATTCTAAACTGGCGCTAGGTGAGGCTTTTAGGGTTGATTCCCCCCCCCATTGTCTGTCCTCCAGGCAAGGCTTTTTATGATCCTGATAGTTTCTGCTGGAAATGTTGGAGAAAGACTCGGACACTGCTGGTGTGCTCTTCTCATCCTTCCGCTTTCTTGCCACAGTTTACCACACCAGCCTTCTGAATCACTGACCTGAATCCAGGCCATGGGCAAGGCTAGGCTGTGTAAGGGGAGCAACCCCTTTATGCAGTGCCATTTACCAGAGCGGCTGGAGTGGTTTCTTCCGTTGTAGCAGCTATGTAGGTCATTTTCTCTTTACCTGTAAAGTTGAGAAGGGTTATGGGAAGGGAAGGAGAATGAGAGAATCGTTAATACAAAGCTTATTCGATTTGGAAGATAGAAGAATACCAACTTACCCCTAAGGTGGACTCTGGGTTTTTCCCCAACTCTCCTCCCATGGCATAACTAGGAGAGATGTGTTTTCCCTCAATATCCCTAATGGTAATAGTAACAAAAGGTGTGATGAACAGAATATTGACTCCCCAAGACTCTTGTCTCCAACTTCTTTGTACATGTAATATAATAGGGAGTTACGTTTGGGTGAGGCTTTTGACTGCATTTGGGGAGCAGGGAGGGGTCAGGGAGGAAGGAGCCTTAGAGAAGTCTTCCGCAGTCTTTCCAAGCCCCTCCCTTCCCCCCATTTTGTTGTTTGGTCTCCTTTTCCTGGCTGTGTGGCTGTGGTGAGGAGATGGGAAGATAGGAGCCAGGGTCTACTTTTCCTGTTCTCCCATCTCTGTAGAAGGGCGCAGGGGTCAAAATCACAAAAACTTGACCGATTCTTCGCCTTGAGCACTGCCTTTTGGGCCTTGAGTCCGTAAAGCAGAAACCTTTCTCCTCTGGCCTTTTTTTTTTTTGGTAAGAGGGTGGAGACCTCAATGGGCAACAGATTTCTTGAGGTACTCTTAACTAAGCACCAGGCTAGATTTTCTACAACTCCACTGTAGTTTTGAACCAAAACCTTCAAAATTATTCTGAAGTATGGTCAGCTATTTACTGGTTTCTAGTTGGCTACTTGATAACCAAGGTTAAATTTTAGTTTATTATAAATCTGCATTTGCCTACTAAGATAATTTCACCAGGGGAAGTTCTATCTTTCTCTTAGAGGATAAATCAGCCCCCAGAGTCTAGAAAAGGTCTTCAAGTGGCCCTCAATTAAGTTCATGGGAATAAGTTCAAGGATTTGAGTGATTAAGAATATACTGATGTTTAGAATATACAACACTGAATAATGTTGCCAGGCTAGGTTGAGTTCCCTGGTTTTGGGGAAAAAAAAGGTTAAAGTCCACTTTGAGGAAGGGACTCTGAACTTTTTTTTTTTTTAATAAGTTATATTACTTTTTAAAAAAATGTTTTATTTATTTTTAAAGAGGGGAAGGGAGGGAGAAAGGGAGAGAAACATCAATGTGTGGTCGCCGCTCACACACCCCAACTGGGAACCTGGCCAGCAACCTAGGCATGTGCCCTGACTGGGAATTGAACCAGCAACGCTTTGGTTCACAGGCTGGTGTTTAGCCACACCAGCCAGGGGCTGAACTTTCTTGAGTTTTGATTATGTTTTGAAGAGAATGAAATGATCTGAGCTTTGTCAAAATAGATGCTAATTGGCTAGGAAGTTATTAGTCTAGTAGTAATCAGATTAAGGTATAAATCAGATCAAACTAGATTATTGTGATAGCTACTGTTTAATAAACAAGTTACTGTGTGACTAGAATTGGAATTCTGTTTGGATTCAGGGTTATTGGGCTGCATCACTTTAATGTCTTCTCATATGGGGCTGCCAGTGGTGCCGGGGCTCTGACCTCGGTCTCCAAGAGATGAGTATGTAGTCCTCAAGTACAGACCTCCTGAACTCTTGCGAATGCGGGCCCTTTCACATGACTAAGACCTCACAACTACCTAATGGCCAAGACAGCTCTGCCCTACATTCTCATCCTGAGCACTGTGTATGGCCTCCTCAGTTAAACCAGCCCAGGTTGCTTCAGTCCCATGAGCCCAGCTCCATCCAAAACAGAATGCAGTGAATGGCATAGCCTTCGCTCTTCGAGGTCCCTTTGTACTTTCTGATGCTACCTGTTTCCTACTGACTTGATGAGAATGATAACCCCGTCCAGAACGTCCTTGCAAGAAACTGGATTGCCTCCAATATGAGAGCAGATCTCCAAGGGGAATAATTGAATACTCACCCTTGGAAGGCTTGAATTTATCATAGCACCGGAAGAGGGCAATGAGGAAAAGCCCTTCTCCACACTGGCAAATCATGTAGAGGAGAGGGAAGAAGAAAAGTGGTCCAATGACTTCAGGGGGGAAGGTCACATTGAGGATGGCAGAGCAGAGTTGGACATTCTGGCATCCAGTCTCCATGCTGACAGTGCGGCTGCATCTGTAGGTTAACAAAACCAACCCCAAATGCCCTCACAGAAGAGGCATGAGCTGCAAACTCAGTTCCCTATCCCCTCCTTCCCAGATCCTCTTAAGACCCACTGAACACCCCAAGACAGGAAGATTTAAACTGCCAGGATAGGGGGTGCGCGGGGTTTCAAGAAAAGCTAAGTGGACATGTCTTAAAATCACTAATCCAGCTTTGGGGAAAGCGGTGACCAGTTGGTTCATGTCGAGAGTTTTTATGAGATCATTTTTTATTATCTTGGAAATCTACAATTTGTCTACTTTTATAGGGTTACCAAGTTAAAATTTGGAGAAATGTCCAGCTGGTAAAGGATGAAAGGAAGGTGTGAGTCAGTATCCCTCACTGGCTTGTAATATTGGGCTTACATATGGGACAATGAGAGTTTCAACATTCAGTAGAAGATTGAAATGTCTGGGGGCCTTGTTCTCTTCCCAAGACTCTGGCTTGGATACCTTGAACTCCAAAATACGTGATGACTGAAAAAATAAAAAACTTGATTCAAAGATTTATCTATCTTTGGGATACATTCTCTTGGTTTTGCTGTCCATTTTATGGATGAAAGAATGGGATGTTTACACTTAATGAATGTGCATTAAATTCATTGACTTGCAGTTAGTGTATTAAAATAGTTGTTACTGTACCCTGAGAGCTGCCTCAGCACATTGTGGGAAAGGCGGCTACGATGGTATTGAACGCTTGGTGCTGGGGGCATCGTGATCTGTATCACTGTGTCTCCGTGAAAATTGACATCGAGTGGTCATTGGCAGCCTTTTGCCTCTACGTAATCACCATGTGTTACATCCTGTAGTAGTTTGTTCTTTATTAGCATGTTTTTAAAATGGATGATTATTTTTATTAAATTTTTTTTTTAATTTTAGTTTTCAATTACAGTTGACATTCAATATTATTTTACATTAGTTTCAGGTGCACAGCATAGTGGTTAGACAATTACGTAATTTACGACATGATCCCCTGGCACCACTGTTACTGCAATATTATTGACTGCATTCCCTATGCTGTACTTTACATCCCCGAGACTGTTTTGTAACTGCCAATTTGTACTCCTTAATCCCTTCACCTAGCCCCCAACCCCCTCTTATCTCGCAACCTTCAATTTGTTCTCTTTATGGATAATTATTTTTAAACTATATTTTAAAAACACTTTAAGTTAGTTTGGTTTTGGGGTTGGGGGTGCTGGGGTGCTATTGGTGTGTAGGCCCCTGCATAAGCATTTGCCAACGCCTGAGAAGAACGCAAGTTCCCGGAATGCTCTGCTCTCTGTAGACAGTGCCCGGTGTTCCCATACCCGGCGCTCTGAGTTATCGGTTCCCCTAAAGGAGCAGCTGTTTTTAATTTGACTAGATGATAACCGAGGTCCCAGCGACTTCAGCTCTGAGTGCCCCTCAGCGCTGCCATTTGATGGTGCTGCCCTTGTCAAGGCAAAAAAAGGGGAAAAGTGGAAGAGGATGAATATGATCGCCATTGGTCATGATGACATGGAGATACCCCAGTGCCATCAGCTACCAGGAATTCGAGCAGGAGATGGAATCTAGGCTCTGGAGGGAGCTCTTTGCTGTGAGTTGGTTTTTTGGATGATTAGAGAAATGCCGTCGTTCTCTGGGTTAATGTTTCTAACCCATTCAATTCCTTCCCAGTATTTCTTGACAGTCCAAAGTCCCTTGTTCAGTTGATGCATTTGGACATATTGCTAGGAAAATGCCCTCCCCCAGACCTCAGGTCTCCTCATCTTTTTCCTGAGAGACCAGGACAAAAATGAGGCCCACACAACAACGAGATAGATCTAAAGTAATACTCACTGTCCATTGAGGCGGACGAGAGTGGAGAGGATGAACCCCAGCAAGAAGCCGATGAAAGGCATCAGGGTGGAGGTGAGCCACAAGTGAGGTGTCATGACGAACATGATGCTCTTGCCCACGTTGATGACAGACAGCCATATGATGGCCACGCTGAGCAAAAGCATGATGATCATTCCTCCCTGCGAAGGAGGACAAAGGAAAGGCGATCAGAAGGGCAGTGGGGACGGCGGGTGGGTAGTAAAGCGCCATGGGCATTGGGGTGGGAAGCATTTTAATGGAAACAAATTGGTATTTGAAGTGGAAGTGAATACAAAAGACCTTTATTTTCCATCTTTTGGAATTCTTACCAGTAGCTGGGAAGCTTCTTGGAGGACAGAGACCTGATTAACACTTGTTACTAAAAGACTAAGCTAAGTGCAGTGTCAGCCTGACTCTCTGGAGAACAGATTTTCAGATAAGTGCTGAGGCTGTGAAGGAATGAGACTATTCAACCCTCCTGCAAAATGGTTCTTGTAAATTGAAAGTCCTCTTGCAAAGGCATTAACTCAAGAGCTTGTACACACAATCCAACAATATTGCCATTGCTCCAGGTATTTTGGAACTTATTTGATGTTATTAGAACCCATTATACTTGTCTCAAGTAGGAATTCCATTATGGGTAGGGACCTCATACATTTTAGGATGAATTTGACTTCTAGAAGTTGCCAAGAGTCATTTGAAGTGAAGCTGGTAAACAAGTTGGATGATCAAGTAAGGTAATGTGGTTTTAGATCCCAAATGGTGTATAACTAAAGCGATGAACCTACTTCCTTGAGTGACTTGAAAACTGGATATGAAGGAAGTTCCCAAAAAGAGCTTCAGAAATATCTTGCATAATAATAGCATCATCAAAAACAATACAGGTGTCCACCCTGTCCCAGGTAAGTTCTATGAAAGCAACACTTACTGATTTTATTAATATGATTAAATACATGTTAATATTGAATATGAAAGCCATATTTAGTTTTAAAAAGTCTAGTTGCAACTTCCATACCATTTAAATTTTCAATAGGTAGATTTATAATCTGCATTTTGGAGAATGGCATGTTCCAAACTGATAAAGTATATGCATAAATTTAAGGCTCTTTGGTCTTGTTCATCCTTTGAGTAAAGGTATATCAAACTTTTTTTAGAGCTTACCATGTTATTTTGTAATGATTATATGTGTTGGTTCAGTTTTCAGTTCATTCACTTGTACAGGGTTTGATACCTCTAGTATTATTTTAAAAAATTGTGGTAAAATATAACACAAAAGTTGCCATCTAAACCATTTTTTAGTGTACAATGTAGTGGCACTGATTACATTCACAAAGTTTTCCTGGTAACATTTTAATGTTTCTTTTGCTCAAATTCTAGCTGCACACTTTTGCATTTCTGTGTTTTTAATTCATGTTCCAACTGATGTGGTCATATAATACACCACCTGTACCAACTCGTTCCTATCCCATGATAGGAAGAAATTTCACAGATCTCATCAATAACTGCATGCTTCATGTTTTATTGAAAGACTAGGAATTGAGGTGCTCAGTTTGCTCTTGCATTTTGAGTTGATTGCTCCTTTGGATTCTTTTGTTGTCTTCTGCTGAGGGACCAAATAGTGTTTGATGCAGGCAAAAGAGTGTCCCAGATAATGGAGGGGGAAAGGGCTGCAGGAATTGTCCAAGAATTGAGGGGCCTTTTGCTCCGGGGGCACTCACTCTCATGCCCTCACTCTTGTTCTCCTGTGCTCGGGGCCTGTTGCGTGGCTACGAGCTCAGACATTGCTGAAACCCTGGTGTGAAAACCAGCTCAGCTGGTCTCAAGATGTGTGAACTTTGGTGAGCTGCTCAGCCTCGCTGAGGTTGATGGCACAGGACCTGCCATATAGGAACCTCTCACTAAATTGTAGCTCCTATTACTCATAGGTAAAGGAGAGGAAGCTAACATTCCAAAGTTTCCTGCCACAGTCAGTCTTGCCATGTGTGGAAATCTCATGTCCACAACCTCCTGCTGAGACAGGCCATAGGTAGTGGCTTCTCCATCAGTCACCATGTTTTGCGTCGGTAACACCTGACCACTGACTGTCCTGTCATAGGTGATTGAAACTGTGATGAGTGCCCATTCATGGGCAGCCACCTCCTTCAGCTTGACCAGGGGATGTCCTGGCCCAAAGTATTCCCACAAAGGTGGCCTGCACTGGTTGGTGAATGACCCAAGTAGTCCTATCCTCTCTTTTCGGGAGTTTTTAGAATTGCAAGGAAGCAGGAGCAGATGCAAGTGTTAAAGGACACAGAGGCCTGGGAGCAGCAGAAGCCACAAGTCTGCAGAAGCTATGTGGCAAAGGAGTCAGGTCAAGTCATCAGTAGCAACAGGTGGGAAAAGCATAGGTAGAGTGGTTGAGTCAGTGTAATGGCTGGACCCTTACTAAAAAGTGGTGGATGGCTTGCAGTAAAAGTGGCTTCTGTCCATGTTGTGCTCAATTTCATCAACTGCACAGCCTTGAATAAACCCTTGCGTAGGCAAGGTAAAGTGTTATTTGAACTTCCTTTCCAAACAGGGCATCCCTGAGACCCATCCTGGAGTATCTAAATATGGCCTCCCACTGGGAAATGCCAATGGTTGAACAGAGTTGGAGTAAGTACCTTCTGCCAAAGACTGTTTTCAGGAGTTAGATAGTTTTGATTTGAAAATCTCTAGGAGGGTTAAGTGAGCAAAGAGGCTGGGCTCATTTTTCAGCTTGAACTTCACTACATTTTATGGCAGCGGGAGATTAAGGATGAGTATAGACGTCAAAGAGCCATGAAAGCAAGGAAGCCTCAGCCCTCGTTTCGTGACGTCTGTTCCTGCATCCTCTGGGGCGACTTCTGTTGGGGAGTGTTTGGTCAGTGGAGCTGCTGACCTCTGGTTATCTAACCCTGGAGGTGGAGCCAAGGCAAACTGGGTCTAATGCACACCCGTCCCTGCCTTTCTAGCCCAGGTGTACCGTAGCCCTTTTAGTCTTCTCTGGGGTTGGTTTGATTCCGTTGTCACTGAGGAACGGAGCAGTGGGTGCGCAGCACGACTGGAGGAACAGGAGACTGATTGATAACCTTGACTCTGCCAAGGAACTTCCTTGGGCCTCGGTGATTCTACCCACAAATTGGGAATAAGGCAGGAGGCTGAACTTTACCTTGAAGGACTTTTCAGCTTTAAGATCTGAGATTCTTTTTGCACTCTCAGAGCAGTTTTAATTAAAGTTATTCTGAAGTAAAAAGGAGGCATATGTTCTTATATCAATTGCACTCGGGGTCCTAGTAATTTGGTTTTCTTATCTATAAAATGGGGGAGGATAGCCCTGGCCAGTGTGGCTTGGTTGGTTGGAATGTGGATCCGTACACCGAAAGAACGCATATTTAAGTTCGGGGTTCAATCTCCGGTCAGGGTGTGTTAGGGAGGCAACTGATTGATGTTTCTTTCTCACATTGATGTTTCTCTCTCTCTCAAATCAATAAACATATAAAAAAATAAAATGGAGGAGTATAGAGTTGCCTTAAATCATCAGGTTACTTCACATTTTTATGTTCTGTGATTTTTCTTTTTTTAATCCTCATTGGTTGACTTTTTTTCCCCATTGTTTTTAGAGAGAGGGAAAGGGAGAGAGGAAGGGAAAGAGAGAAACACTGATACAAGAGAGAAGCGTCGATTGGTTGCCTCCCATACGCACCTGGACTGGGGATTGGCCCCACAACCGAGTTATGTGCCTGATAGGGAATCGGAGCCACAACCTTTCAGTTATGAGATGATACTCCAACCAACTGAGCCACGCTGGCCAGGGCTATTCTGTGATTTTTCCCCCCCTTTATTCCTGTACCACACAAACTATCTTGAAGAAATGAAATGATGAACATAAACACATTTCTGGATTTTTTTTTTCCTCTTCTAATGTTTGGGAGAGAGAGAACTTGCTCTTTTATTCCTTTATTTATTCTCATGCACTAGGGAGCACTGTGATAGGTACTGGGACTCAGTGTAAAGTTACAGCCTTAGGATCTGTCTTCAAGAGGAACTCGAGATGAGCGGGGAATAAAAACAAACAGGTGTGTATAATACAGAATGACTAATGCTGCCAGGGTTAGCGTTGGGGGCTGTGAGAGTAGATAGGACCAGCCTCCTCACCAGGCTTGTGAGTTAAGGAAAGCGGCCTTGGGGAGATACCATTTGTGTGCAGCATGAAGGGTGAGTAGGTATGAGCCCAGCAAAAGATGGTGGGTGAGGTAGAACTTGGGGAGGGGAGTGTTCCAGGTGGGAGAAGGTGCAAAGAAAAGAGACTGGAGAGGTCAGTTAAGACCAAACTAAGAAGGGCCTGGGAAGCCACATTAAAGAGTTTAAAATTTATCCTGGGGGAGAGTAAGGAACCCCTGAGGGGCTCTAGGCAGTGGAGTGACATGGTGAAGTCTGTACTTTCCACCTTCCGGTTAAAACTGGGTCAAGGAGCCAGGTTAGAAGATTATTTCAGTTGTCTAGTGAGAGAGAATTGTGGCCTGAATGAAGACAGGGGAGACAGGATGGGGAGGAATGGATGGATTCAAGCAAATGCAGGCAGAGCTGACAATCACTGATTAATGTGAGTGTGGAGGGAGAGGGGACATCGGGAATAACTTCCCAGTTCAGGCTCAGGTAGTTGGGCACATTGAATGCCAGCCATTGAGCTAATCAGAGGGGGAGGGAGCAGGCTTGGGGAGGAGATGATTTCAGTTTAAGGCATGCGGAGTTTTAAGTGCCTGAAGCATATTCATGAAGAAAGGTTTAGCGGTCAGTAAATGGATTCCAGAGTGAGGAGACAGTTGAGGGCTGGAGAGGCTATTCTGCAAGTCATCTCAGCTCCTAGGTGTTGGCTGAGACGGACTAGCTCTCTCTTGGTGGGAGGATCTGGGGCTTAGGGAAGCCTGGAAAGAAAAGCAGAGAGCTTGAGCTGAATGCTGAGGACTTTTACCAGGGAGGCTCATCAGGGGGTCTGAAAAGAAGCGCAGGAGAGAAGCTGGAGCACTCAGCGTCCAAGGCTGCGGGCGAAGGCTCCTGAGAAGGAGCCGCTGGTCTACCAAACTGTCGGATTAGGAGAAGAAAGTGGGGCAAGTGGTCATCAGGATGCTGAGTGGACGGGAGACCAAGGGGGAGAGAAGAGAGGGATTTATGTGACTGAGACCAGCTGTGGAGGGCCCAGTCAGCGGTGAGAGCAGCCCTGGTGGAGGCGTGGTGGGCGCGGAAGCCGTGCAAGAGGATGTGCTTTTGGGGACAAGTGTTCCCCAAAGTGTGGTTAGGAAGGGGGCAGAAAGAGAGGTGTTGGCCAGAATGGGAGGTGAGGAATTTTTTGTTTTTAAAGATAGGAGATTAAAAAAAAAAAAAAAAAAAGACAAAGCCCTGGCTGGTGTGGTTGAGTTGTTTGGAGCATCATCCCATAAACCAGAAAGGTACAGGATCGATTCCTGGTCAGAGCACATATCGAGGTTTTAGTTTTGTCCCCCATCCAGGCACATGTGAGAGGCGACCGACTGATGTTTCTCTCCCTCCCTCCCTCTTTCCTTTCCCCTTTCTCTAAAATCAAGGAGCCTGTCCTCAGGGGAGGATTAAAAAAAAAAAAGATAGGAGAGGTGTGACTCCATATCAAGGCTGGTTGTGAAGAACTAACACAGAGATGTTCTAGAAATGAGAGCGAGGCGGAGGTGACGGTGGGGGCTGAGGCACATGATCAATAAAAGGAGATCCCTGAGAAGCGAGGGTGGAGAGAGTGGAGGATGCCACCCAGAGCGGAGGAGGGTGATCAGCATGCGCAGGAGGAAGAATGGCGTCTGTGTCTTTCAGCAGGTGGGGAGGAGAGCTGCGGCCACGGTATTAGACCTGTGGCAGGACAAGGGCAAAACCTGCTCTGACAATGTGAAAGTCACAATGTGAAAATCAAATAACCCTGAAAATCTGAATGGGAGCTTTTTTGTCTCAGGGCCCAAGCTGCTGCTGAGCCTTGGCTTCCAGGTAGCATGCTCTGTAGATGGGCCCATGGACACAGATCCTGGGGCAGGGCGGAAACAGGCCCTCAGTGTGTCAGGAGTCAGGGTCCTTCCCGGGGACAAGTGACGAGGAGTGATCCAGAGTGGATACTGACAGGGACCGAGCTCTAAGGTCACAGAAGTCGGCAGATGGACCACGGTTGCACTCCAAGAGTCTGTGATTCTTCCAAGGGCGAGGTGGTGGCATGATACCCTGTTTGTGACCATAGTGCTCCTCCGACCCTCTGGGGTCCTACTCACTGCACCCTCGTCCCATCCCACTCCTGAAATGCTGGGAGTGCACCCCACCTCTTCCCCTGGGCTCCACCCCTCTGGCTTCCTGACCAGTCAGCCAGGTTTGCCCTTGCTCGCTCTCTTCAGGCTCGTCCCCAGCCTTTCCCAAATCCTATATTTGTTCTTGTTTTGGCTCAAGACTGTCCATTCCAGGAGACCTTTCTGGGCTCCCTGGGCCTCACTAACTTCCTTGCATCCTGCCAGTGTTTGAGCACTGTGTTGGGTTTCGTTTCTCCTGTGTTAAATCACTTTCTGAAAACTGTCTGTGAATCCTCAGAGGATGTAGGATAAAAATTAGAATCTAATAGGTGCATAATAAAAATTTAATTTTATTATTAAAATAATGATGATGCCTTATAGTTGTATATGGTCTTTTATATTTTTCCTCTTAACTTTTTGAAAGTATTCTCAGGTACATTACAATCCCATTAAGTGGGTGTCCCAATAGTAGATCTTTGTCTTATCTTTTCCTTTCTTTTCCTTCCCTTTTTTCCCTTCCCTTCCCTTCCCTTCCCTTCCCTTCCCGTCCCTTCCCTTCCCTTCTCTTCCTTTCCCTTCCATTCTCTTCCTTTCCTTTTTTGTAAACAAGGGAAAAAAAAAACACAACACAGAAAAAAGCCCAAATGACTTGCGTCTAGCCTTACGCTGAGATGATAGTGGTGTTCTTGCTCCCCACCCAGGCCCCCAGATTCTTACCTTGATGATGTAGGGTACATAGTGTGGCCGTTTGGTTTTGAGGAAGATCCCTATGATGCAAGGAATGAGAGTCACGATCAGTGAGAACACAATGCTTCCATAGGGTACCTTGTCCTTCATGTCCCCATCATAGATCCCCCTGGAGTAAATGTACAGGAGGAGGGGCATCATGCCCAGGGCAATGAAGGTGGAACAGGTGGTCATCACGATGCTGGGTGGGAGACATAGGGAGAGTGCAGAGAGAAAGCCCATTAACATGGATGATTTTGTTGAGTGCTGGCCTTGTGCCAGACACTGTGCTAAGCACTTTACCTGTGTTGCTTCATTTCTTTTCCTGGCTAGTCTTACGGGGTAATTATACAATCTCCCTTTTGCTAAGGAGGCAGTTAAGGACTAGAAGAGTTGTGACTTGCCCAGGATCAAGCAGGTAGTAATGGCTGGAGGCAGGATGTGTACCCAAGTCTGTCCAACTGTATAATCCCTGTGTGCTTCATTATGGAAGGAATGCTCTGATCCCCTTTGTAACAGAACTCTTTTTGCTCTGAGCAGATGCTGTATACACAGCCCATTTAGAAGAAAGCTAACTGGGTGACTTCATCATTCTGATTATATCCCACTGGGTCACAGAACAGCACCCAGCCCACATCTGTGTCTGTCTTAGAGCCTCGCGGAGGGCCGGACATAATGGCTACATCCCACCAGGATGACAAGGATTAGCTACATTGGGAACATTTTCTCTTTTGGAGATTTTGAATGTGAGACACCATGACAGAACATGTGGTCTTTGAAAGTGAGTGGCATGGGAGGGGTGGTCAGGTAGATGCCAAAAACATGCAAAGGAAAAGTAAACAGGACCATGATTAGGAGGACTATAAAAAAACAGCAGCAGTGGAGAAGGCAGCAATAGCTACCCATTGCTGCATAAGTGACCAGACAACCGGTAACAGACCTGCTTTCTATCTTAATCATGGTTCTAGTCCCCAACGCTGATAGTTCTCATATTCTTTACTTTCTCATTTATCCTTACATTATTTAAGTAAATTGAGTGTGAGACTCAGAGCCTGAATAACATATCCTCCCAGCTCTAATTTGTATCTTAATTGCCCTATTACCATTTCCATTCAGAATCTAATACATGTTAGCCCCAGGACGGTGTAGGGGCACATGCCTTCCAGAAAGACCAACTGGGAGAATGAAGCTGCTAGGGAACCCTCTTGGATTTGTGGACACCGACCTAATGCTATTTGGCTCTGGCTTCCATTCTAGCAGGAAGGTTGGATGTGAAGGCTTGGCACAACCTCAGGAAAATCAGCACAGTGTATACCCCTCCTCCCCATAGCCCTGCCCTCTAGCCGCACTTCTTCACTGTTTCCATCAAGATGAACTGTGGCTTAAATGAACATCAAGTACAGCCTAGTCCAAAGGGTCCAGATTGTAGCCATCTCCAGAACAGCAACAGGGAGAGGATCACAGGGATAAGAAACTGTCAGAGGTGAGGAGACACCCTCAAAAAATATCATGTGTTGAATAATGGGGCAACCCTCCCTTACGAACACCTGAAACACTTAAGTACATGCCTGAGCTTGTAGGAAAGTAATAAAGGTTTCCAGGGATCAGAAACAAAGCAAAGTAAGTCTTCACTTAACATTGCATATATCTCACTTTTACCATCAGCTAATTGATACAAACAAGAGTTAAGTTCCTATAGCATCTTATCAACATTATAACGGAATGATATCGGATGAAATTTTAAATGTTATTCATTATTCGAGGACCTGCTGCAGTTAGTGGGTAAACTTATGTAGAAGGCACACTATGTGGGGGCGGGGCGGGGCGGCGGGGGGCGGGGGGGGGGGGCGCGGTTGTAGGAAGTAGAGCGCTGGCTTTGGTAATTTGGAGGCTTAGGTTTTAATGCCTAAGGGAGGGACCGGATTTGAGATTTTAGGCTTCTGAAAAGAGGAGAGTTGAAACAGAGAGATCAATAATAACAATTTGGAAAAATAAAACATTTAACTATCTTATGGGTCAAATATGAAATAATGAAAAGAAGAAAATATTTGTAATGGAATATAATATAATACACATTTAAAAACACGTGGGAAGATAACCTTGGATTAGGCAATATTTTCTTAGATATGACACCCAAAGCATGAACGACCAAAGAAAAAACATAGATTTGACTTCATCAAAATTAAAAGCCTTTGTGCTTCAAAGAACAGTATCAAAAATGTCTCCCACATAATGGGAGAAAATATTTGCAAATCATACAAGGGTTTAGTATCCAGAATATATAAAGAACTCTTACAACTCAACGACTTAAAAACCCCAAATAACTCAATTTAAAAGTGAGAAAAGGACTTGAATAGACATTTCTTCTTAGGAGACATGCAATTGGCCAATAAACATAAAAGAGAAATACAAATCAAAACTATAATGAGGTTCCATTTCACACCCACTAACATGTTTGCAGTAAAAATGCTAAGTCTTGGAGAGGATGTGGAAAAATTTTAATTTTCATATGTTATTGATGGGAATGTGAAATAGTACAGCCACTGTGGAAAACAGTTTGGCAGTGCCTCAAAAAGTTAGAGTTGTCATATGACTGAGCAATTCCATTTCCCAGGTACGTATTTCCTGGGACATATTTCCACACAAAAAACTTGTATACTAATGCGCATAGCAGGATTATATAATAGCCAAAATTGGAAAACAATAAAAAATCCATCAGCTGATAAATGGATAAGCAAAATATGGTGTCTCCATACAATTGAATATTACTCGGCCATAAAAGCAATGTGAAGTACTGCTACATGTGGTCACATGGGTGAACTTTGAAAACGTTATGGTAAGTGAAATAAGTAGAAATGTTAAAGGCCATATACTGTGTGATTCCATTTCTATGCAATTTATAAAGGGAAAAAGACCAGTTAGGTTGCCAGGGGCTGGGGTAAGGCAAGAATGGGGAGTGACTGCTAATGGGTACAGGGTTTTCTTGGGATAACTAAAATGTTCTGGAATTAGATAGTGGTGATAGTTGTACAACCTTAAGAAGACACTAAAAACTACCGAATTATACATTTTATAATGGTAAATTTTATGATGGTATGTGAATTACATTTCAAAAAATAAATTAATTTTAAAAAGTTGGGTAACATCTAAATTAATTCTTAGAGAAAAATGGATAGACAAATATTTACACAGGAAAATCAGAAAAACAAACAAAAATCAATGAGCTGAGCATTTCAGTTCAGAAACAAAGGAAACCCACTGGAAGTAGAAGAAAGGAAATATTTAAGATGAAAGAATAAACTTTAAAAATTATATAAGTTGGGAGGATCAATTAAAAATTAAACCAAAAGCAGTTTCTTTGCAAAGTCCAATAAAATAGACACTGCTGGCAAGACTAATCAGAGAAAAGGAGAGGAGGCCCAATTGAAGATATTAGGAAGAAAAACGGAACGTAATTTCAGATATAATTTTATACTTTTATTTTTCAATTTAGATTAATGGACAATTTCCTGGGAAATATAATCTACAAAAAAAATTCAAAATATAGCCGAAAACCTGAATCAACTTAAGATCATAAGGACATTTAATAAACTTTCTGAGACCTATCTTCCCAACTCCACATGGTTTTACAGTAGAGTTCTACTAGGCATTCAAAGTGTAGATAGTCTCAATATTATATAGAGAATACAAAAAGGGAGAACATATTCCATTTTTGTATATAAATAGTACACTTTTAGAACCCAAGCTGGAAAAAAAACATTATGAGAAGGGGAAATTAGTAGCCATCCTCACTTATGGACATAGAGGCAAAAAATAATAAAATATTAACAAATGAATCTAGTAATATCTTTATAAAATAAGAAAATGAACAAAATGGATTAATCCCAGCAACATAAGAATGGTTTAATATTAGATAATCTACTGATGTATATCACTAATATCAAGTTAAAGAAAAATGGTATGAGCATTTTATAGGTAGAAAAGTGTCATCCAAAAAAATTCAACGTTCAGGCATGCATGATAAAAATTAGCACACTAGCAACAGAGTGGAAATTCCTGAATCAAAAATCTATAGGAGAGAGGAGAGACCTGGCCGGTGTGGCTCAATGGGCTGAGCACTGGCCTGAGAACTAAAAGACCATTGGTCCAATTCCTGGTCAGGGCACATGCCCCGCTTGTGGGCCAGGTCCCTAGTTGGGGGTGTGCAAGAGGCAACGGATCAATATTTCTCTCCCTCTCCTTCTCTCTCCCTTCTCTCTCTAAAAATAAATAAATAAATAAATAACATCTTTAAAAAATCTATAGGAGACAGGAAACTTAATAGTGAAAAATTAGATGACTAAAGCAAGGATACCAGTTATCATCAACTTTGTTGTAAATTATACTACATATAGGTCTTTGTTAGCACAACAAAACAAGAAATAGGAAAGGTATAAAGATGAGAAAGGAAGAAACTAAATTTTCATTATATGTCAATGATAAGACTGCCCACAGAGAAAGTCAAAGTGAATTTCAATTATAACTAGTAAATAAGAGAATCCATGTGATTCTGAATACATTAACAATAAAAAATGAATCTATCATGCCTTGATATAATAGAAAAAATAATTATATTATGATTTTTAAAAGGGTACCATTTACAATATTTAGAAAACTATAAAATATTTAGAAATAAATCAAAAAGAGGTAAGTAAAATCTTTATGGGATGAATGATAAAACTTCATAAAAAAGGGATAAAATAAGACCTAAGTAAAAGAAAAGCTATACCATTTTCATGGATGGGAAGACTCAATATTATCAAGATAGCCTCTAAATTTATCTATAAATTTAATGCAAATTTAACCAAAATCCCAGAAACATTTTTTGTAGACTTGAGAGTGAATCCCAAAATTCAATTGCAATAATAAAAGGCCAAGAATAATGAGTGTAATTTTCAAGAACAAGGTAGGGGGACTCACCTTTCAGATATCAAAACTGATTATAAAGTTGTAATTAAGAAAATGTGATATTGTGTAAGGAGAGCCACAGAGATCAAAAGAAGAGGAGAGAGAGTCCAGACACAAGCCCATGCATACCTGTGAATCCGACCTGTGGGAGTGATGGCATTACAAATTACTAGACAAATATTCACTCAGTGGTCCTGGGAATTTTTTCTCTCACATAAAAAAGGTAAAATTAAAGCATAGCATACATAATAATTTCTAGGTCAATTGAAGATCTCCATGTGAAAAGCAAAACTTTAAAATTTTTCAAAGAAAATATAGGGGGATATCTTCATGACCTCAGAGGTAGTAAAGGACTTTTTAAAGGAACACAAAAAACGTAAACTGTCAAGGAAAAAAATAGGTAAATTTGATTAAATTAAGGTAAGTGCTCTGTATTATAAGACATTCTTATCAAAGTGTAAAGACAAGTCCCAAACTGTGAGTAGACCATTGCAACATATAAACAACAATACAAACTACACATTAATAAGAAAAAACACAACAGACTCATAAAATAATAGACAAAGAACATTATTTCTAGAAGAGGACACCCACATGGCCAATAAATATTTAAAAAGGCACTAGACCTCCCATGAAATTAAGTTTACAACCACCGTGACCCATGTTAGTATCACCAGATGGCAAAAATGGAAAAGTCTAACAATTTCAAATACCAGTGAAAACATGGAAAAAGTGGGACAACTACTTTAGAGACTGTTTGTAGCTGGTATGTGAACCTCACAATCCAGCCGTCCTGCTTTTATTACACCCTCTCTCCCATGTGAGCACCGGGGCACGTGCACGAGGCTGATCACAGCAGCAAAATGTGACATGCGCATGGAGGTCTGAGAGCAGGAGAAGAGATAAACACAAGCAAACACTATGGCAGTTCAAAGGCACAAAGGTGTTATTTTATTTATATGCCTACAGCTCAAGAAAAATAAAAGAAGCAAATTGTTAAATGACCTGGGCAATATGATAGTGTGTATGCAATTTAAAACCATGCCAATACTGTGAACAGTGTACCTTGTTAATGAATTGGTACATCAGTAGTAATAGTATAAACTATACTATAATGCTGCTAAATTCCAGGAGGTGCCCCCTATGGGGTGGGGAGAGAGGTTTGAGGTTGGGGAGGGGCACCCAGTGCTAGCTATTGATCTCTTCTTAGGAGAAAGGCCACACACACAGGTGGGCTTGTTTTGATGTCCTTGAGCGGAGGAGTCATGCTTACTTTGGCTTGGCGTGTCAGGAGTTCTGGAATTTGCTCTGGGACTTCATGTTCCTTGTGCACACAGCGGGTGTGGGAGCCAGGTTGTAGACCTTCAGGTACCTCCTCCATGTTTGTAAGTGCTGGACCCTGGTCAGGGACGCCCACCGCCTGACTTGCTGGAATCTGTGACTATCATGATCCTCAGTTTACTTTGAAGGATCGGAATGGGAGGTGACTTGTCCAGACTCTAATTCTGAGATTGGAACCTGTTCCATAGTAACACTTGGACCTGGTTGCCTCTCAGAGAGCTGGGGGGCCGGGGAAAAGAGCACATTTGGTTTCTTACTTATCCTTTCTGATTAAGTTCTCAGAGCACGGCACACACCCTGCTTTTGGACATCTGTACCCTGTGTTTGAGGAAGGGCTTTGAGCCGCTGTGCAGAGAAGCAAAGCTGAGGGAGCTGTCAGGGAACTTGTCAGAATCTCTGCAGTGAAGTGGAGACTTCTGGGAACCCGAATGGCTTCCATCTCCTCTTGGTTAGGTTTCCTGTGTCATGGTGGGTAGAGCTGTGGGAATACTTGGGTAGTGTCCACGTCTGTTGCTCCCACAGCCAGTGGCTCTGGTCTCTGCGGTAGCTGGGTCAGGGGGAGCAGATGAACTTGAGGGGCGTCAAAGGTGTTCAAAGGGGCCCAGTTCCCTCTGGCACTCTCTGTCCCCGACAAGTTAAGTTTGCTTCGGCTCTGAGGATATTTTCTCTTGCCTGTGTGTCACCTGCATTTTTTGGAGCTTGTCTAAGTGGCATCCCTGAGGAAGGAGCTGCCATGCTGGACTGCCCCGCGTGGTCTGCCTGGTGGCCCAGCCACCTGGAATGTACCCGGCACCTGTGACGGCAGCTGCCCCCGTTGTGAGGCAGGGCCACAGCAGCGAGAGAGCCCAGAGCTGGCTCCTGACACCATTTGCCTACAAATCCTGGGAAATCTCAGGCAAGACCCTGGACTTCAGCTTTCTCACTGATAAGGCGGAATTGCTGTCGTAAGACACCCTATTCTAAAAGCGAAATAAGATAGTGTTGTGCTGAGAGAAGTCCCAGGCTTGTCACCTTCCTGTGATATCTGGCCCTTGGAAACGTACCATTTAGCTTGCACGGCATTTAAAAAAAATTTGAATGAGTTGCCAATATTTAAGAATTTGGAGATTTCACATAAGAGGGGAGTTTCTACCTTCTCTGAAAAAGCAAGAAGCTGTGCTGCTGGTGGGTTTCCGCTGCCAGAGAACATCCATGATGTGCGCCCTATGTAGGCAGGCAAGGCCTTCGAGGCTGGCAGTCGGTCTCCAGTCATTTTGTTCATTTTTGTATGTGGCTGGCCCTGAAGGTATGTGAGGAAAAGCACAGGCTTTGGAGCCCTGGGCTCAGTTTCCTCATCTCTAATCTGGGCTCTTACACAGCCCCTCCTCACAGGATGCTGCGTGAGGCTTGGGACAGTGCTGGCTGGGTTTTATTGTCAGTATCATTATCATAATTAGAATACGTGCAACAAGTTGTCCTAGAGGAACTCAAATTGAAATATGCAGTCTGGCAGCATGTGCTGGTTGACGATGAGATTCACGCTCTGCAGCAGGGTCTGAGGCATGGCTTAATGCGCGTGGGAGGTTTGCCTGTGGGAAGGGGCTCTCTGGTGGAAGGTGGCTGTCCCTGCAGAGCATTATCTTTTCTGGGTCTGGGTAGAAGTGACAGTTTCCAGGGCCCGGGGCACAGAGGGTGAGCCGGAGAGCATAAGTGGTCACAAGCCTGAGTCACTGGAGGCCTTGTAGGTGGAACGGCCTCAGAAATGCAGCTATTGCTGAAGAGATCTCGTTAGTATCCACTGGCCAAGGAGGCTGGGACATCTGGTCACTGACCCTTAAGAACTCTTCCATTGTCCTTCACGCTGTCCTACCCCTCTCCGCTGCTGTCCAGGTCCAAAAGCCCTCAGAGAACCCCTTCCCCAACACTGAACTCCTGCATCCCTTCTAAACCAGAATTAAGATATAGTCTGGGTTTCTCAGGACACAAAGGCTGTGAAGAGCTTTGTCTAGAGGCCAGGCCCAGACTGAGGACTTGCTTTGCAGCAGGAGGGATTGAGATTAGGTAGAGGGAAGAATTTCCACACAGTGAGGTGGCTGGACATTGGATATGTCCCTTTGGGAGCCTGTACAAGCCAAGCCTCTTCTTCTCATCAACTATCTCAGTGAGGGTGAATCCCATGGGTGGAGACTCCAGAGCTGCTCAGATGGCTGGTCCTGGTAAACCCCACTTATCACTCTCTCTCTCTCTCTCTTTTTTTTTTCTTTTAAAAATCAGCCCTCGGCCCACTTGGCATCACTAGGAGGAGGTTCCTTCTTTGGTTGCTTGGACTGTCTGAATCCACTGCCTTACCTGGCATAGAAAAGAGTGTCTACTGAGGACCCAACTGAAGGGCACTGAGCTGGAGACTGAGGCTTAGATAAAGGCAGGAGGTTCTGTGGGTGCTTTTCCTCAGCCAGTACAGGGGTTACTGCTTGTCCTTGCCCCCAGTGTAGCCCAGCATAACCTGGCTGTCACTGGGAAACTCTTGCATCTACCTGGTTGTGTCTTTCCATGAAAATGTTCTATCTGTTGAGAGGACAGGGGAATCTGCCTGGACAGTTCAGAGGAGCTTTGGAAATTCCTGCTTGCTCTGCAGGGATTGGAGGTGCCCATTTGGTTCTAAGCCACCTTGATCTCCACCAAAATGTCCGGAACCAGTCTGCATCCCCTTTCAGATCTCTGGCCTCAAAGGACACAACTTGCCCACCGTTGTAGGCAGGTAAAGTTCTCCAGAGGCCCCTTTGGTTTAAATCAGTACTCCTTTAAGACAATCCTTATGCCCCACTTGAGATGCCTCTGGGAGTACAGGGGTCTCCAGGATGCCTCTGGGCCAGCTTGGTCCCTTTGGCTTTGTGTTTAAACCAGACATACTCCAGCCCCCACCCCCAGCCTAGCATCAGCTCTTGACAATAAATGCCTCCCACTTCCTGCCCTAGAATCACCCAGCCCTGACTCATTCCCCCTCTAGTCTTTAGTCCAGATTTCCCCCCTTGATTGTGAGGCCTCCAATGTGGCCCCTGTCCCCAGGCTGCTCCCTCCTCATCCCCAGTCCTACCTGAGGTTCATGTCGCCCTTCATGCTCAGGCTGAATAAGTTGGACAGGTTCCCCCCAGGGGAACAGCCACAGATCAGGATGGCCAGTGCCTCGATGTTGTTCAGCCGGAAGACCTTTCCCAGTGCAAAGGCAGTGAGGGGCATTATGCCATACTGCGCCACCAGGGCGATGGCCACCCCCTTCGGCTTCCAGAAGTGAGCCTTTATCTTGCTGAACTCCATGGTGCAGCCCAACGAGAGCATCATGATGAGCAACAGGGCCACCAGGGTGACCCTCAGCGCCAGGTCGGTGGGGCGCTTGCCGAAGTTGGGCGGCAGGGAGAAGTTGAGCGGGACAGACACGTTGAAGACCTCCATCCTCCTGCATGGAACTGGAAGGCCGACAGTGGCACACCTTAGCTCCCTCCGCAGCTCGGTCCTTGCTGGACACCTTCTTCACTCACCTCCCAGGGCAGAGTTTCAGGACACACAGAACTGGAACAGGTCTGATATTGGCCTGCTGTGGCATGCTGAACAGGCCAAAATGCAAATAGAGGGATTATGCAACCGGCTGTGGACCCAAAGGGGAGGCAGCCCAGACTCAATCTGCTTGGCCTGTCCTGTCCGTCTCCTCCGAATTCCTAAATCTTTCTTCGTGCCACTCACAGCCCTTTGCTGCTTCCAGAATAAGAGGCCTTATTTTCCTCCTTTGCCCTGCACTGGGCTCTCCCAGATGTTCTGCTCCTGGGGCCCAGTCCAGGGCCTGCCCCTGTCCAGGTCCTCTGCTCAGTCTTTGATGCCTTAGGAGGGTGCCCTCCCCACGCCTGCTCTGTCAGCTGCCCCCAAACCTTCGGGAGTGAAAAGAGCCAAGCATTATGTTACCTTTCCTTCCTGGTAGAGAGAGCATATCCCAAGGGGTTGTGTGACAGAGGAGGGACAGTTGTGTCTCTGGCCTCTGGGACAGGATATGTCCACGACTCTTTTCCCGGGAGATGAGGTGTCTGTGTCCTTCTCGCCTGTGCGGGGGCGAGGGGGGACACTAGTCCTAATCCCAAACCTGGATGGTGGGGGTCACGCTCACATCTGGAGGGAAGAGCCCGCAGGGGTGGCTGCGGGGGTCTCAGGAAGGGCAGCTCTGAGTGTCCCCTGGCTATAAAGCTTTGTGTCCAGACTCCCTGGCCAGCAGCCTGGGGAGCCCCATAGCTTGGGAAACTTTCTGAGCAAGGAGCAGAAATGCACAGGCGTTTCTTTCCAGCTTCCTTGACAGCTCTACTTGTTTCTATGCCTGTGTGTCTCAGGCTGGAAGCCCGGCTCTGGGCAAACTGCAGCGTCAGAGAGGGATAGGTGGAGACAGGCATGGGGGGGAAGTGAGGGGTAGGCTCGCAGTGCGCACGTGTGTGTGTGTGTGTGTGTGTGTGTGTGTGTGTGTGGTCTGTTCGAGCGTGTGTGGCCCTACTGAGCTTTGCTCCTCTCACCCCAGCGGCAGGGTAGTACCTTCAGAGGCGGGACAAGCGACCAGCCCTCAGAAATGCACTTGCCTCTTGGCTGAGTTAGAACCCATGGGGCCTTGATGGGGTCTCACAGGTTCATATTTGCTGAAGCAGGAGATGAAGCTTTTTGTGTGGGACTCCAGGGGATAGGAACCAGGCTGTGAACCACTGTGGGTCAGAGGGGAGATGGGTTTTGGCTTGGTATGAGGAAATGCCTAAAAATGAGTACATTCCAACAAGGCCCCCGCGACCTTTGGGATCCTGCATAGATAAAGGTTGGGCGACAGGGTCCTCCCCACCCAGGCCTACACAGAGAATCAGGTGGGTAAGCAGCACTCACAGGAAGCAGCCTGGTCTGGCTGAAGCAAGCCTGGAAGCCTGGAAGTTCACCCTGGCTCACTCTGCACTGCAGCCTCAAGCAAATCAGTAGCTCATTAGGTGCTTAATACACAACATTAAATTAAATCCACTATAAAGTAGAGGAGGAAAAGAGTAGCAAAAGTTTCCAACAATCAAAGAATATTTACCAGGAAAACTGCCGCAGAGCAGATTAAAAATTTTCCAAACGTTATACTATTGAATTAAAATAAAATAAAAATAAAAACCCTGAATGCAGTAATTATTTCTGGGAAGGAGGGCAACAAAACAGAAATATAACCCAAATAAGTATTTTTTAAAAATCACCATTTGGGAGCCCCTAATGTAATAGCTGATTCAGGTAAGGATCATCAACAGATGCTAAAACCTTTGGGGAAAAAGTAATTGGGGAATGGGATATTCATGTAGTTATTAACTGGTAATTATAGAGGGAAGATGTATACTTTTACATTGGCAAAACCTGGCAGTTACCCACCTAACCAAGAGATCAAACTTGGAATTCTTAATAGTGAGACAACCTGAAATCATATACCCCTTGAAGGAATGCTAAGAGAAATGCACGCTCTAAATATAGTCTAAAAGGTTTACTCTGAATCTCACCAAGTCTTTAGGTTTAATTAGCAGTTTATTGGAAATACAGGTGTTAGAAAAACAAATGAACTATAGAAAACTAACCAGACAAATCTAGAATATGGGACATTTTACAAAATAGCTAGTGTGTCCTCTTTAATGAATAAATGTTGTAACAAAGTTGGGGGTCTGTTCTACATGTAAAGAATAAAGAGACATAACCAAATGCAATGTATATTTGTATACTGGGTTGAAAAAAGATATTTTAAAACATGTTGGGGAGTAATTGGGGAAATTTGAATATGGACTATACATTACATGATATTATGGGATTATTGAATTAGTATTATGGTTATTTAGGGCAATGTTCTCATCTTAGGAGATGAAGGCTGATATCTTACTGGATGAAGTGTCTTGATGTCTGCAATTTATTTTAAAATGGTTTGGAAAAAATGTGTTTGTGTATTGTGTGTAAATAGAGAAAGGAAAAGCAGATATGGCAAAGTGATAATTGCTGAAACTATGTGCAGGACATACGGATACTCATTGCATTACTTTTCCAAAATGTTGGTCAGGTTGCAATTTTTCAAAACAAGAAGTTGAAGAGAAAAAGGACATAGGAAAGAGATGTTCAGGTAACAGGAGGAGACAAAGCATGGTTGGCAGAACTCAGGAAAACACAGCATTAGGGCTATAGAGGAACTAGAACAAAAATAAAAGACAACTAAGACAATCATAGTAAGGGGCGTGGAAGAGAGAGATGAGAAGGACAAGCAAAATAGAATGGCAATAAAGAATGAAAAAAGGGAGTCAGGAGAAAAATGATAGATATAGAATCCAAGGAATGAAGATCAAATAGACACATAATTGGAGCCTTCATAGAAGAAAACCAAAACAATGGAACAGATCAAATACAAATATGATTTTCTGAAAAAAGGAGACTTTAATTTATACTGTGTATCAGAAAAATTAATCCAGAAGAGTCAGCTGAGAGACATGCATTAGTAAAGTTTTTAGACTTCAGAGATGATCAATCAAGCAAAACGATCAAGTCACTTACAGGGGACAAAAATCAAGGTTCTCTACAGCAACACCAGAAGCTGGTGATGCAATACTTAAATGACTTTCCAGGAGAGAAAAATGTTACCTGAAGATTTTATATCTGGCTAAATTACCATTCAATGATAAAGACAGCCACTTAGTCTTGAACAAGAAAGAATTTAGAGAATGTTGCTTCTATGAACCTTTTTTGAGGAAACTACTAGTGGGTGAATGTCAGCCAACTAAGAGATAATAGGGGAAATTATGAAAACAATATTGGCCACAAGGTTTGGATACATTTACAATGGACTAACACTAACTAAAATTAGAGCGACTGGAATGGTGTGAAAATGATGTGACCCGACACTGTATAAACAATGTAATAAACAAATATTGTCAGAGGAAGGAGGAAAGTAGGTGAGAGGTAAAGTTTACTGATTATTTCATCTGATAACTAGGAGCCAATCACTAGAAGTAATTACTAGGAATTCATCTGTAATAACTAAGAGTCAGCTGGAGTCAAAAAAATATTTCTCAACAAGCCAAGTAATACAATAAAGCACTTTTTAAAAAGTAATTAATTCTAAGACAGATATTATTGACTAAAGTAGGTTAGAAGAGGAGAGGAAGGGAAGAAGAGCAAATGCGTTTACTTTTTTATTGTTCATAATAAGAAACTAATAGACATTTGTTAAATAATGGACAACTAGAGGTATGATGTAAAGCTTTCATTGTAAAAGTAACAACTAAAGCAAAAATAGAGGTCTTTTGAAATTTGAGAGTTACAGCAACAAAGACAACAGACTACATAGTGAAAGCTTTTTTAAAAAAGATGAATTCCTAGTAATTACTTCTAGTTATTGGCTCCTAGTTATTACAGATGGAATAATCAGTAAACTTTACCTCTCACCTACTTTCCTCCTTCCTCTGATAATATTTGTTTATTACATCGTTTATACAGTGTCAGGTCACATCATTTTCACACCATTCTCAGTCGCTCTAATTTTAGTTAGTGTTAGTCCATACCTGATAAAACAGAAATATAATATTAATATGCTAGAACTAAGGCTGATGTGATAAATCAATAAATGTTGAAATAGATTTAACTGGTCTATTAAAAGAAAAAAGATATTCAGACTCTTTTACAGGCAAAATCCACCTTTATACTGTCGTCAAGCAAATGATCCATCCAAGACTAAACATTGTCTGAGAGGTAGAAAAGTATGTACAAAGGTATATGAAACAAATGCAAAGAAAAGAGAGCACAGGTTATAACCTTAATATCACATAAGGTGAAAATGAAGAAAGGCTCTTTAAAATGCTCAAAGGTGCAATTCACAATGAGAAAGAAAACCTATGTACCAAGTAAGAAAGCACAATATTCATAAAGCTAAAGTTACAGGAGATCCAGGGGAAAAACAGACGAGCAAACAAATAGTAGGACACGTTCAGTCACCTCTTTCAATCAGTTATAGGTCAACTGGAAACAGTAAAATGGATATAGAAGACCAAAATATCAGAGAAGCAGGTACAGGTTTACAGTTTCTCATTGAAGACTCACAATCGTTTTTCAAAGTTTGGAAAGGTGAGGCAGCACGTGCACTGGGCGGCACCTGACATCCCAACTGGGGTCTGGGTAGCACTGTCAGCAAACACAGCGACGTGTCTGCAGCAAATCTATGATAAGTAAGTCAAGACAATAAATAGCCTCTCACCGGTAGAGATTAGGGTTTCCTGTCAAAAGAATTACAGACAAACGTTTAGATGTCAGAGCATTTTGGGTTGGGGAACTACAAGGCAGGGAATGTGAATCTGTATTTGATTCCACATTAGGAAAACTTTGAACTTTTCACTGTCTAAAATAAGGAATGAAGTACCTTGGAAGTGTCTGTCACTGGGGCTTGGGTGGGTGGGACAAGTTCAAGCAGAGGTGCCCATTTTTCAGGAACCTTGAGTACCCAGTGGGGAGCTGGACCAGGAGACTGGCATGTTATTTTCTGACTCAGGATTCTAGGGTTAGACTGGCTCGGGGAGGGGGTGTGTTAGCGAAGCGGGGATGAACAAAGGGGTTCACACAATCCTAATCATGGTACCAGATCAATGTTCCAACACGTGGTTGGGAAATCTGCGTGCAAGCTGCTAAATCAGCAAAGATAGCAAGCACACTCTTCAACTCACTCTCAGAGGATTGATACCATTCCAAAGTAAACATAAAATGTGCCGAAAGAGGGGTGTTGAAAGAACAGCTAGTATGGTTCCCCTCTTCCTATGGCTGGAGACGGTGACACCAGGCCTGGGGTTCTTCTGAACTCCTCCTGTCCCACAAAATACACCTGCCAAGGCCTGAATTTGATGCGGCACAGCTGGGAGTCTCAGCAGGTTTCCTGGTAGTCACGGTGATGCTGATTCTGGAGAATGTGGCCCATCTCCGAGAGCTGATAGGTCACGTGGACACCGGTGAGAGGAGGCAGTGGTGGGTGGAGGGCGTTAGGTCCTTCATGGACCAGGATCTGCCGACTTGATGATTATGGGTTAGAAGGGAAGCCAACCCCCTGTGCCTTACAACGTTCACTGAAGTTCTTCACTATCTTCCTGGAATCACTCAGGCTGGGGTTATTGCCACGCTCCTCGTGTTTCCTGCTCCCCTCAGCCTGGAAAGCGGACGGGCTGGTGGAAAGGTCAGCTTCACCCCCAGAGGTGCTTGCTACCAGCTCATAAATGTGAGCAAACACTCCGTGGCAAAGGAGGGGGCAAAGTGCATGGGAGACTAAAGGTCCCAGGTGGAGAGTGTGGCATTTGCAGGGTCAGGGATTGATTACTTTAAGACTTAAACAAAATAACACAAGTCATATGGCCTATTTTGGAGCAGGCAGAAAATAAAGATAAGCACAAAGAAGAAAACAAAAATCTCACCACCCAGAGATAAGCATGGTTAATATTTTAGTCTGGTGGTTTCCAACCAGCTTCCTAGAGGACCCAGGATTTTGTGGAGGTGCTTCCAAACCTCCATAAATGCTGGCTGGAATCTAATCGAAAAAGCCTAAGAGGTTTGGATTGTGTCAAAATGGCCATAAGCAAACGTGCAGGTGAGCCCATGAGCAATAACCGCACGGAGACCACCAATCTGGGAAGGTGTGCGTCTCTCTCTGCCAGCCGTGAACCCAGCTCCTCCCGCCATTCCTGGCACTAACTTGTGCTCGCCATGAATGTGGCTAGGTGGGCAGGCTGGAGCCCTGCAGCCCCGCAGGCTCGCTGCGAGAAATCCGCAGGCGCACACACCAAGGCAGCGCACCGCGCCGTCCTGGATTATGGGGCACGGGAGGTCAGGGCCTTTCTTTCTGCCCACAAATGTTCACCGCCCGCTCCCAACACCCGGGGCAATTGAGGGGTGTGCAACAAGAAGTAAATTTGTAACACATCGTGGTGTCATGGCATTATATAATGGATCATTTTAGCACCAGTCTTTTTATTTTTATTATTGAGGGAGGTATCTTGCAATAGGAATATCTTTAAACAGGAATACCTTCTAATAAGTGGCGAGATGCTAATGCTGCGCATTAACCTTCCCACTCCCTAAGCCCACACTGTCCTGCATCCTGTGGCCCCGCCCCTGCCTGGCTGGTAAGCTCTCAGGTCTTCAGAGGAGGATTTCAGAAGTGCAGAGAGAAAGAAGCATGTGGATACTTTGCTTTTAAAAAAAATTTTTTTTCTTTTATTTTTTAAAATTCTCACTTGGGGAGATTTTTACACTGATTTTAGAGAGAAAGGAAGTTGGGGGTAGGGCGGGCGGAGAGAGAAACATCTATGTGAGAGACAAACATTGAGTGGTCGCCTTCCGTAGGCACCCTGACTGGGATCGATTCCTTCTGCAGCCACACAACTCGGTGAGTGCTGCTTGTCTTTTATTGGACATTCAAAACAGAGAGAAGTCTTGATGGCTGTTTTCAAGACTGAGGTCTAAACAGGTTTCAGAAGATCTGGGAGGAGGAAGGAAGAGGATCAGAGAGGGAGCCAGAGAGAAACAAATCTGCTTGTGTCCTGTCCCCTCTGCCCCCCCCCCCAGGGTCACGACCTTGGGTTGGGCACGGTCACCTGGATAAATTTGGGGGTCCTTAGGGCAGAGATGACCTGTGCTTCTTCCCAGTGGGGCCTGGGGAGACCCTTCCCAGGGTCTCCTGCTCTGGCCAGCAGCAACTGAGTGGAGGGGGCAGATTGGCTCATCTGGGTAGAGAAGACCGAGGCAGGAGACCCCTGCCCTTGAATCCTGCGGCCTCAAGGGCGTGTGCCTGGCTGCATTTCAAGGGACTTCATGGCTGGGGTAAAAGGAGTAGGTGCACCAACAGCCCATGAGTGGGCAAGGAGTGTCCCGGGCAGAGGGGAGATAAGTGGAGAGGGTCTGGGCCTGGGGCTTGCTTGGCATTTTGGAGCGTGGGAAGGAGGCTCAGGGAGCCAAGCTGCCAAGAGCAGGAGCCAGAAGCCAGGGTAAGAAGTCATAAGCCAAGTGGCTTTGTGTGGCTTTGACACAAGCCAAGAAGTCAGGGTGATGAGTAAGAGAGGGAGCCACAGCTGGGCTTTGTCAGACATGGAAAAGATCTTCTAGTTTATCTCTGGAGTGGCAAGAAACCACGGAAAGTTTTAAAGAGGGAAGTGACCTGTCAGATCTGGCTGCTTCGTGGAAAACGCCTTCAGCTGAGCAAGTGCGGACACAGAGGCTGTTGCAATAAACCTGACCAGAGATGAAGGTTTCTTAGAATCTCTCTGCGCCCTCCGGCGGAGGCCACCAGCCACATGCTGGTTATGGGCACCTGAATGTGGCTAGTCTGAATTGAGGTGTGCTGCAGGTGTAAAATATTGAATTTTGGAGATTTATTACAAAAATAAGAAAATTAAATTTCACAATGATAACTTTTTTCCATCTAAATTTTATATATTTGAATTTCACATTGAGAACTTTTAAAAATATTGATTACATGTTGAAATGATAATATTTTGACTACTCTGGGTTAATAAAAATGTGTTATTAAAATTAATCTGACCAGTTTCATGTTACTTTTAAAATCTGGCTTCTAGAAAATGTGAACTTGCATATGTGGCTTGCATCAGGTTTCTGTGAACAGTCCTGAACTAGAGCGTGAACGGGGGCGGGGGATGGGGGGTTGCCAAGAAATGAATCGGTTCAACCTTGTTTCTGAAAGCAGAGCGGCTGAGAGCCCGAGGGGTAAGAAGCGAGGGCTGGGCAGTTGGTTTACTGGTGGTGCCGTTTACAGAGACGGGGGACGCCGAGGAAGGAGCAAAGTCATGAATACATTTTGGAAATGCTGAGTGAGAGGTCTCTCTCTCACTCAGAGGGTTAACTATGGAGCTGGAATTCAGAGGGAAAGACAGAGACCATCCATGTGTGGACGGCAGTTGCGGTGCTGGGACCACAGGAGATGAACGTGGATGTGGACAGGTCGGGGGTCAGAGCTCTGAGCTCTCCCAGCATTTAGAGTTGGGGAAAAGGAGGAAGATCTAGTAAAGAAAACTGAGGAAGAATGAATGGCTGGTGAGGCAGCAGAAACTCAGGAGAGGGCGTGCCAGAACTCCTGGAAAACTTCAGCTGGAGGTTCTGAGTTGAGTGCAGACTGCCGGCTGGAAGCTGGGTTCCTGAGAGAAGGAGGCAGGCAAAGGCTGACAGGCATCGCTTGGCCCCTGATGCCAAGCTTCCTTCCGAACAGTCGCTGTACCTCCTCAGGGGAGGGGGAAGGAAGGGAATTATACAAAGCCAAGGGATTGGAGGTGCCCCCAGGCCCCCCTTTACCTTTCTCCCCTGAGAATCCAAACAGCGGTCTAAACTGAGCCAGTTCAATGCCACGCCCAACAGAGCTCTTTGAGTTGAGTCTGACTGTCAGCCCAAAGTACAGCTCTGTTCAAAACACGCACACCCACACACAGACCCACACCCACACACCACTTAGCAGCCCTGCATGCCCCACAGGATTCAAATCCATACTTTTAGGGAGACTTGGTGTTGTTTTGGAATCCTCCCCATCCTGTTGGAGGCCCAACGGTCCTAGGAAGGCGGTGTCTTCTTCGAACGTTTGTCACGTTGGTGTGCACTGAGCTGAGGCACTTGATCAGTACCTGGCAACTTCACAGGACCCTTTCCACGCACTCTTCAGTTCTCTGTTTGCCTCCGTGGCCTTCCTCCCAGGTGGAAATCTGGGGGACAGAGCAGAGACCGGTGGGGCGAACCGGCCGGCAGCCCTGGGGCACTCACTGCAGTGGACAGTTTTCAGGATTTGAACTCCCAGAAGCCACCTACTTTACTTGCTGTGGTCACAGGGCCCAGGGTTAGAAAACTGTTTTATTGGGAGTGAAGGCTGCCTTAACGGCAAAGGTAAGAGGGATTCCTGCCTGGGGAGCAGTTACCCTGAGTCGAGGGTGGCCAACGCCCAGCCCTGCTGCTTCCTGCCTGTTTAAGTCTGATCTGACCCTTCAGCTTCCTATGAATTTAATTCTAAGGGAAACCCTCTCTCCTTTCAACAACACCCCCTTTTAAGACCATCGAAGTTGATTTATGTGCCTTTCAGCCAGGCACTCTGACCAACACCAGATACGGAAACATTATTGGATTGGGTTTCCCATGGTGGGGGGACAGGTACAGTGTGCAGCATCCCAGAAGTCATTGCCAAGGTTCTCTTTTTTGATCTGGGTAATGCGTACTTACCTTTAGGACATATATGCATTATTTAGATGTAGGAAGTCCTTCATAATACATATAAGCACTTAGAGAAATTATTGGAATACATTGGAAATCCAGTGTCAGCTTAGATTTCTCAATGCAGCTCTGTTCACGTGGGGAAAAGAAAAGTGGTCCTACTTTCTCTCATGTAGTGTCCTAGATCAGGAATATGAAATAGTCCTTGACAGCAACAAACTGGATCTGGTAAATATTTTTGTGCCATGGGAATGCAGTCTGTTCAATGCAATGCTATGTCACAGTATCAGCTGTGACAGCCATCTGAAGTCAGCCAAGATTCTGAAATCAAATAGTCACGGAAAAAGCATTATCAATAAGGGGTGAGGTATTATCTCCATCATAAGTCCTTAAATTTACCTCTGGGCAAAAAAGTTGCCCACTTAGAAAAATTACAAAAGAAAGCTAAGAAGAAATAGAAGAAAGTTAGAACCATTTTGCTGACAAAGTCAGCACGAGAATTTTTAAGCATGTTTGGACACTGTTGTATATCGGTATGCTTGTAAAATTGTTGTGTGAATGATTACAGCTTTATATGAATACATGTAGGACATTCCTTACTTGAGCATAAGGAAATACATAATTTCTGTTTTTATTAAATAAGAACCCTTATTACAACTAAACATAGTTAAAACAGGTTTGAAGAGACCCAAGTCATCATTAGCTTCCCAGGAACCCAAATGTCTTCGTCTGGTTCTGGGAAGGAGTACAGCTTGGTCTAGTTTATGTTCCCTATAGCTCCTGGACAGGCGTTAAGTAAATGATTGGTACAATGGCAATCATATCACAATAGATAGGTGTATAAAATCAACATGTTGTATGCCTCAAACTTGCACAATGTTACATACCAATTATATCCCAATAAAAGAGAACAAAATGATTGCTTGTGCCTGATAGGTCACATTCTGTGTTTACCAGAAAAATCAAACCAATAGACAAAATCTAAGCCGCCCTTACCAATTCTGCCACCAGATGGCAGCAAGTCACCTCTTATGGGATCGCCTTGCACCTGGGGACTGCTGGGCGGCTGGGGCGTGGATCGGGGCGGTGGGGCGGCAAATTGGGGTGTGTGTAGAGGCTGAAATCCATTACTCCTGAAATACTAGGCTAAGTACTCAGCCATGAAAATTTCACTTAATACTCATATCTATGAGGTAGGTATTAATATTGTCACCATTTTGCAACAGAGACAACTGAAGTTTAGAGAGGTTAAGTGATCTGGCTAAGGTCATATGCACAGCCTTATGACCTTAAGCTGCAGAGTCAGGATCAACTGACTTCAGAGCTTGAGATCTCTGCCACTGTGTTTTATAGCTTTTCCCAAAATGTATACACACATAACACCATACAGGAAGACGGCCAAAAAGAGTGTGTGTGCTGTTTAGGATTATGGGCAAATTACAGAGATTGCATTTCCTATTTTCCATATTTGAAATGAATTATAGAGTAAAATTGCCAAGTTCCAGAAAACAATTTTGGGATTTTGATTAAGAATTGCATTTAATTTATGAAACACTCTGGGTAGATTTACCATTTACATGATATTTAGAATTCCTATCTAGGATTATGGCAAATCTTTCCATATATATTCAAATTATTTCTGTCCTGCCCTTAAATTAAATGTGATTGTTTTAAATGCACAGATCTCACACATTTCTTGTTAAGTTTGCTTCTAGGTATTTCATAGTTTTGGTTGCTATTTGAAATGAACTTTCCCTCCAGTTTCTGTTTTTAACTGGATATTTCTGTTCTATGTCAAGGTAAATGATTCTTTGGTATTAGTTTTTTATTTATCCACTGTATCAAATCATCTTATTTTCAAAATTGACGTAACATTTACATAACATAAAATTAACCATTTTACTTTTTGTTTTTTTTAAATAAAAATTAACCATTTTAAAATTTCGTACATTCACAATGTTGGGTCTATGTCCAGCTCCAAGACATTGAATTACCCTGGAGTACAACCCCACACTGTTATTCCCCATGAACCATCTTATTTTTTTAAATTGATTTTTAAAAAAGATTTTATTTGTTTATTTTTAGACAGAGGGGAAGGGAGGGAGAAAGAAAGGGAGAGAGAGAGAGAAACATCAATGTGTGGTTGTCTCTCACACATCTCCAACTGAGGACCTGGCCCGAAACCCAGACATGTGCCCTGACTGGTGACTGAGTTATAGGCCAGCGCTCAGTCCACTGAGCCACACCAGCTGGGGCTGAACTTTTAGAAACGGGGCTGTAAAACCCATCGAAATCACCGGGCCATGCAGCATGGCGACCAGGTGGAGGTGGCAGTGATGTGATATGATGAGGCAGGCCGTGGATCTCCTTGTCTCCTAACGCGTGGGAAACCCCACAGGTGTGGGCTTTTTCCATGACAGAGGCTGACTCAGCTTCCGACCTTCCTTCCTTCCTTGCAGCTAGCCCTCCCCACTTCCAAGATGAAGCTGAGGCCGTGCTGACTTGCTGCCTGGACTCTTTGCTTCTCCTGTTGTTAGGAACAGCTCCTCACATTTCCTCAAGTTGGCATGGGAAGCCCTGGGTGTGTTTTGCCATGATCCAGGTAGGGAAATGATATGGGTCTAAGCTTTCTCCAAACTTTAGTCACATCTCTACCCCTACTCTCAGTCTGCCTGAAAAAAAAAGTTCAGGATATTCACACTGAAACAACCCTCAGCCCTCCTTTGACCAGTTGGAAGCCTGAGTCTTGCTGCCAAGGGTAAGTGGTGCTGTTGCGTGGCTGGAGCCCAGCTACGTGCTGCTAGGCCAGCCAAGGAGCCCCGGGCTTGGTGACGGTGCAGGGGTGGGCTGAGGGCAAATACGCCCCAGTCTTGGTGTGTGGTCGTCAGTACTCAGGGGTATTTATTTAATATCTTCATATTATTTGTATAAACTGAAATTGATTTAATTCTTAAGTAAACTTCTTGATTAGTGATTAGCAGACATTTGGCCGTGCCCAAAACTCCTGCAGAGACATTTGATCCACGCCAAAGGTCCTTGGAATTTGGTCATGTCCAACACGGCCCAGCTTAAAAGACATCTCTGGGTTCAAATAGCCCATAATGTTTATTACTATTTTTGTTTTACAGGGTTAATACATAAAACATACTATCATGTTTTACAGGTCTAATAACTGTGCTGTGAGTGTATTGCCAAAGTAACACTTTTCCCTTGGTAGCTAGGCCAGTAATGGCACATAGGGTTAGGTGGATGGGTCAGGGTTGAATCTTGCAGAGAAATGGGATTTATATTAACTACGGAGACTAAATATCTCACGGATGTTTTAGACAAGACCAGACGTCCTGCAAGGAGACTTCCACATTCTTTTTTTTTGGGAGGGGGGGCCACTGAAGAGTTTAGTGGCACACTAGAAGAAAATACTGGTAAATATTTATGTAGTCTTGGAGTAGGGGCATATTCTAAATATAACACCAAATAGAGACGCCATAAAGGGGAACACTAATTCATTTAATTTGAAGTTTAAAAACGTCTCTGCATTAAAAAATCATAAAGTTAAAAAAACCAAAGTAACACACCTATAAAAATGACATATATGAAAGGCAGTGATTGATATCTTTAATGTATAAGGAGCTTTTACAAATCAATAGGAAAAAGACAAATACCCCAGTGGGAGTATTGGAAAAACATATGAAGAAGACAAATGGATGACTGAGAAACATTAAGAAATGCCCGGTTCTAGTAGTAATTAAAGGAGGGATCATTAAAATGACAGAGATTAAGTTTTTTCAGCTTCCAAATGAATTAAAAATTTCAGAGTGGGTCTAACTTGAGGGGGATGTACGACAGGGAGACCAGCCTGGCTCCTCCCCCCGGCACCCCCCCCCCCCCCCCCGCTCCCCGTCCCTGCTGCTGTGGGCGGGGCCTTGGCAAGGCTTTGGTGGGAGGTGATTTGGGGTCATCCATAAAAATCTTTAACAAACATTACATATCCTTGTACCCAGGAGTTTCACTTCTGGTAATTTGTCCTAAGGACATGATACTGGATGTGCCCAAAGATATAGCTGTTCAGGGATGTTGACGGTATCCTTTTTATTTTTACTTTTTCAAATATATATTTTTATTTATTTTTTTATTTATTGATTTATGAGAGAGAGAGAGAGAGAGAGAGAGAGGAAGGGAAAGAGAGAGAGGGAAACACTGATTTGTTGTTCCACTTATTTATGCCTTCATTGGTTGATTGTTGTATGTGCTCTGACTGAGGACTGAACCAGCCATTTTGGTGTATCAAGATGACACTCTAACCAACTGAGCTAGCTGGTCAGGGTGACAGTAGCCTTTAGAAAAAATAGCATGAAAAGGAGACAACCTAAATAAGTACATGGCCATTTAACATGATGAGAGATGTCTTTTTATTGACTTAGATGTTCATGGTGTATTATTAGGTGAGAAATTGAAATAGTATGTATAATAAAATTCCTTTTATGAAAATAAATTTAATGTATGCATGACATATTTAAAAAATAGATTGGGCTTTGCAACAAGATATTCACAGTGGATGCCTCAAAGCAGGGAAGGAGGAATAAGGATTATACGTGACTTTTTTCTTTTGGCTTATTGATATCTCCCTTTTATTTCAATGTTGAAATATCCTTACTAGTTTTTGCATGTGTTTTTGTTTTACTTTCTTAGGTTTTTAAAAAATTACAAGAGTCCTACAGGCTTGTAAGAAATTCAAACCAGACAGGAGTGTATAGATGCATTTCCTCTCACCACTCCGTTCCCCTGAGAGGACCACTGTGGACAGGCTGGCGTATGTTTCTCCAGACATTTGTATGCACATGTAAACATATGTATGTATATTTTAATACAAATGGGATCACACTATATACACTGTGCTGTATCTGCTTTTTTCACTAAACAGTATGTCATGGACATCGTTGCATGTCAATACATATAGACCAACCTTATGCTTAAAAAAAAATGCTTGCCTTTCAACAGCTGCATATTATTACCATGCACAGATAAATCCAAATCTTTTTTTCTGATTTTTCTATACTGAGTATGTGTTACCTGTGTAATGGAAATGTAATAAAATGTTTTCTTGGAAAAAATAGAAAAACAAAGAAAGGAAGAAATGAAGGAAGGGAGGGAGGGTGGAAAGCAGACAATTTTTTGGTTCATTTTTCCTTTCATGTGGGTTTGGGGTCCCTTCTACTTGGGGGATATCTTTGCTTCTGGAGAGCTGTCGGGGCTTGATGAAGTCCAGGAGGAAGACTTACCTCCTCCACGATTAAAGAAAAGAGGTCCAAAGCAGGCTGATGTGGCTGGTGGTTGGAGGGTCGTCCCCATAACCAAAAGGTTGTTGGTCGATTCCTGGTCTAGGATGTGGGTTTGAGTTCTGGTCTGAGCATGTGCAGGAGGCAACCAATCGATGCTTCTCTCTTGCATTGATGTTTCTCTCTCTCCCTTCCTCTTTCTCTAAGAGCAATGAAAAAAAAATGTCCTTGGATGAGGATTGAAAAACAATAAAAACGTCCAGGGACTTAGGGATTTTTTGGTGTTCCCACATTCTTTTTAAAAATTTATGTTTGAAGACAGAAGTAATACATGAAAACCTTCCCAATATTTTACTATTCTTATAAATATTTTCTAGTTTATTTTCCATGTCTGTTGCTGGGTTGAGGATTGCTCCTCTGTGTGTGTATGTGTGTATCCATCTAGGTACCAAGACCCGTGCTAGGCACTGAAGCTGTTAAGACAGTCTTCAATGAACCCCCATTAGGGAGTATTAGAAAGCCAGCTCCCTTGGCCCCCCACCTCTATCCCATGTGGCTTCCCCTCTTGCTTTCTTCACGTGCAGCCATAGCTGGGGCTGGGGGACTGGATTAGTTATCTCTAGCAGAGACAATGTGTGTGGTGAAGTCAGTTGCCCAATGCAGAGTCAGCTTCCAGTGGGTCACAGTGGGGCCAGGAAGCTTGTGACTCCTAGTGAGTATGGAAACCCTGCGCTTGCTAAGCCCCGGCCCTGGGCTTTGGAATTTGTTATAGACTAAATGTTTGTGTCCTCCAAAATTCATATGTTGAAACCCTATCTTCCCATGTGATGGTTTTAGGAGACAGATTTAGGGAGGTGATTAGGATTAAATGAGGTCATGAGAGTGGAGCCCACAGGAAGGAAATTAGTTTCCTTTTAAGAGTCATAAGAGAGGCTGCTTCTACTCTCTGTTCTCCACCATGTGAGGACACAGCAAAGAGACAGCAGTCTCCAAACTGGAAGAGAACTCTCCCCAGGACTCAACTATGATCTCAGACTTCAGCTTCCAGAACTGTGAGAAATAAACTTCTAATGTTCATAAGTCCCCCAGTGCATGGTATTTCTGTTATAGAAGCCCACACAACTGAGACATTACGGAATGCTGGTGGTTCCAGAAGGACCATGGACTTGCACCTAGACAGCAGAGGATTGGGGACCCTTCTGGGTAGGGCAGGAGAATGATCGTAGGAGACATTCTAGATTATGCCTGGGACCTCATCAAGCCCCAACAGCTCTCCAGAAGCAAAGATATCTCCCAAGTAGAAGGGGTCCCAAGTCCACATGCTTTCCCCTGAGCAACCTTGGAGTTCACGCTGATGGTCCCTCCAGCTTGCTGGTTTCACAGGTCCAACCTTACCTCTCTCATCCCTGACTTGCTCTCTTTTTTGATTGTGTATTTTCCTTATTGATAATCTAAATTAAAATTTCTGAAAGATTTAACGTTTATTAAATCAGTCAACAATTTTCCAGAGATCTTTCTGTATTGTGTAAATAAACATCAACAGCAATGCTTTTGGTCATAAAAAATAAAGTGAAACAAGGGTTAAAGTGGAATCAACAGGGATTTACATTTTTTTAAAAAGTTTTTTAAAAAATATTTGTTTATTTTTAGAGAGGGAGAGGGAGGAAAAGAGGGGGAAGAAACATCAACGTGTGGTTGCCTCTCATGCACCCCCTACTGGGGACCTGGCCTGCAACCCAACCATATGCCCTGACTGGGAATCAAACCAGTGACCCTTTGGCTCACAGGTCAGCACTCAATCCACTGAGCCACACCAGACAGGGTTAGGAATCAACAGGGATTTGCCATATAGGTAAAATCGTCCTGAGAGGTGAGGACTGGAATATAGGACCCAGGTCATGAAATCTTAGTTTTACGTGTTACTTCATCTTCATGTTATGTCTAGAACTCTACCTGCACATAGGTCAACAGAAAAAATTTTTGAACATCATTCATCATGGTTTTAACTGGAATAGATGAATAATTCCCTCACGTTGTAGAAATGTGGTTGTTGATCTTGGCACATCAATGTTCTGTCCCTTCCCTCAACCCTCCCCACCCCAACAATGTCTTCCCTTTTAAATTGAAAACTTTAAAAAATACACAAAGCATAAAAAATAGTTTATTAAAAGTGTGTACCCTTCACTCACCTTCAACAGTCACTGATGACCAACTTCATTTCATCTATACTTAATCTACATCCCCACTCCTCTAATTTTCAAGCAAATCCAAGTCATTATATCATTTTATCTGTAAATATTTCATTACATAGCTCTAAAAGTCAGAGCTTTAAAAAAATATAACCCCAATATCATATTCATACCTAAAGAAATGAACAGTCCCTTAATTATCATCATTGGGCATTGTATACATTTTTCCCGATTGTCTATGAGTTTGTTTGAACCAGGGTTTAGAAGGTTCATACATTGTAATTGATTGATATGGCTCTTGTGACTCTACTAATCTGCAGTTTCCTTCTCTAACTCTACTTTTTTTTTCCCCCCTATAATTTGTTTTTTTTTTGTTGTTGTTGAAGAAATAAATTCTTTGCCCTGTAAACTTCTACTTTTTGCTGATTTCATAACTGTGGTATTGTTTAACATGTATTCTGTCCCCTGTGTTCTTGAAAAATGGATCTTGGGAGTTTTCTTTGAAGTTAGGCCCATTTTAGGGATTTTTATTTGCTTTTTTGTTCTTTGTTTTGCAAGACTATCTCATAGATGGTGGTATGTACCTCCATCGAGAGGTATAGAATATCTGATGATTTCTTTTTGTGTGTGGTGTTATTGACCATTGCTGATCATTGCTTAGTGATTCATTCATTTATTCATTCATTAAGGGTTGTAAAAATGATAATAGTCTAACGATATCAATCTTTCTTTGTTGATTGGCTAGAATAATGCTATAAAGGTTTCTTTATTATTAAAAGGGTTTCTCTATTATTAATATCTTACAATATTATGGTGCATTCACTATAATTAGTGAATCAATATCAGCATATTATTTTCAGTTAAAGTCCATCTTTTATTCCGATTTCCTCAGTTTTTCCCTATTTTTATCCCATTCTGGAGCCCCCTGCAGATACTGCATTACTGTTAGTCATCATGTCTCCTCAGGCTCCTCTTGGCTGGGACAGTTGTGTGGATTTTTTTGAGGAATACTGGTCAGGTGATTTGTAGAATGTCCCTCCGTTGGGATCTGTCTGATGTGTTGTTTCTCATGATCTGACTGGGTTTATGGGGTTTTGAGAGGAAAACCAGAGGGGCCAAGTGCCATTATCTTCATGTCAAGGGTATGTGCTTCCTCTATATCTTTGCCCACTTTGATTCCTCTGCCCAGCTCAGAGAAACCAACACTTAATAAACTTGAATAAGATCCCAGAGATAAAAAGGAACATAGCTGGGAGTCAAACCCCAACTCAGTCTGTGTATCTTGGAGCCTGTATTCCTAACCGCTCTGCCATACTTGTTCTGGCAATTGATTTCTTAACTTAGCAAAGGCCTCACATGACCCTCTTCTTTCTAGTCCCAGCTCTGTCTCTTCTCCCCAGAGCCGCTCCCACCAAGAGCTCATGCATCCCCTTTGATCCTTGCTTTCCATGGAAGACATGACTCTTTCTCCCCAGGCCACTTCTCCTTGCCCACCTCCCCCCATCAAATGGCAAAGAGGCCCTGTGATGAATGGGAAGGGAAACCGGAAGGGGAGGGAAGGGGATGAGGAAAAGGAGGAGGAGGAGGAGGAGGAAGAGTGGGATGGAATGGGGGCCTCAATGGCAGAGCCACAAACCTTAATTTAATGACAAGGCCCCATGCTCAATTTAACAGACACAAGGGCTCAGAATGGGGTCCCTATGTGCCATTGGGACAGTCAGCCTGCTGCAGTTGCTGGGAAAGCATTAACTGCGAATGACAATGTGTAAACAAACAGTGGGGATGAATGGAGGGTGCAGGTGTGAGCCACTGGGGCCAGCCTGGGCTGTTTTCTCAGAAGCTGCAGCTTGGCTCCTTCATTGCCAACCTACTCCCCAGAACTGGCTTAGTGGCAGCAGTTAGGAAACCGTTGAGGGTGTTGGAGTTGGAACAGAGCGAGTGGCTGAGAGCAGAGGGGAAGAGGTGGCCACTGAGGCCTGGGAGACTAATAGTGGTGTGTGCCTGTGCGTATGCGCTGCCTGAGTCTGGTCTAGTCCCCTGGCCAAGGCACTGGCTTTCTGGAAAGCAAGGCTGGAATGTGAATAACAGCAAAGGGTGTCAGGACCGGCCCTGCGCCTGCTGCCCATCTTCCCAACGGAAGCCAGCTGCAGGGAAGCTGGAGAGAGCATCCGGGGTCTTGGCCTGGAGAGCAGAGCTGAGGGACGTTCCTGGGGGAGGCCAGGCAGTGGGCCAGGCAGAGCTGAGGCCATTGAGCGCCTGGGCCCTCCAGAACCAGCTGGGAGACACCCAGCCTGACCTGGGAGGGACAGCGGTGCTGCTTATGAGCAACTGGAGAATTGCTGAGAGCCAAGTCCAGAAAAGACTTTTATCCAAGGGCCCCAAGGCTTCTTCCCAAAGCTGTCTCCACCTGGCAAATGTGAAAAGGGAGGCCCAGTGGGTTCTCTGCCTAACCCTAGCTGGCTCCTGGCACATACTATCCTATAATAATGATAATACTACTTATTACTACTATTACTTACTGCATTCTTACTATGTGCCAGGCACTCAGCTAAACACTGTATTTATATGAAACTCTAGGTCAACTTCATGTGCAGCTTCATATGTTTTTCTCATCTCAGTTCTGTTGTGATTCTCTGGGGACAAAGGCAATTTTCCTTATTTCTCTTGTCTCTCCTAGGATTCCTAGAACTGAGCTGGGCCCTCAGGAATCCCAGTTCAGCCTTTGTCTTGTAGGCAGTGGGGGTGGTGGTCCATGGACTGTTTTAGGAAGCTGGTTGTCATTGGGACAATGGCATTGATTGTCAGACAATGGAGGAATGGCTGGGAGGTAGAAGGGTTTGAAGAAGTTGTAACAAACCACGTGAGGGGTAAGGACAGATGACGACGGGTGAGTTGGGAGACACGGAGGATGTGAACTCCCTGGACGTCAGGACTGGTTGGCTTTAGGGTGCGAAGGCCCAGGACGCTGGTTTGAATGACTGGCTCAATGGTGGCAGCAGCATCTGCGTTCCTGGCAGGGAACACAGACCAAGGCGCAAGTTCATAGTGGGAGATAGTGAGTTGGATTTGAAATGACTTTCTTTCTGATGATTACTGTGGATTCAGGTTGGTAATAGTGAGGAAGAGAGAGCGAAAAAGACCCACAGGAATTTTCTGAAAGAGGGTCAGCATGCTGGGTTCCCACGTGTACTTTTAGCCTAGGGCCGAGGTCCGGCTGCATGCCCAGCAGGGAGCGCTCCTGCCCGCGGATGCCAAGCTCGTTCTCAGCACCTGCTGGGTGCCCGGTCCTGAGCTGGGAGCAGGCAGGGTGAATTGGTTGTGCAAACTGGTGACAGGCTTAGAGAAGGAAAAAAAAAAAACACATCAAGTTGGCTCTAAAATATCTCATGTATCAGCCAAGGAAAAATAACATACAGATGCAAACTGAGCACAGGACTGTAAATCTTTGTTTTTCACAGGTAGCTTGTTCAGTCCCTCCCCCAGCTTGTTTTTATTTCTGAGAGAAAGAGAGAGAGAGAGAGACAGAGAGAGATTGAGATTTTTTTGCCTTTGCAATGTCCAGGCCCCTGAGGGTTAAAAACTGAAGTGACTTTCCAACGAAAGGAAGGTCAATGGTAACCCAAGCTTTAAAAACTGGGAGTGAAAACCTGGATATTGAATACTATCCGTATTTTGGGGTCACTTTTCTATTTCAGTTTTTAAAGGATGGTTCTGGAACCAGAGCTTGGGATCAGATCCCAGCTCTATTACTTGCCTGTTGTGTGACTTTGGGCAAATTTACTGAAGCTCCCTGCCTCAGTGTTCCCACCTATAAAATGGGGATAATAATACCTACGGCATAGCTCTGTTGTGGGCATCACAGACATTCCTGCATGTACTGCTTAGGAGAGTGGTTCATTGTAAGCATCACTATATATGAGGACAACTGGGGCTTGCCCCACCGTTCCTGGTTCAGCCCAAGAAGGGTTTGTCTTGGGGAGCCCTCTGGCTTTTCTTCTCCATTGGTCCTTCTACCGGTGGTCACATCATTCCTTGGGCTCTCAAGATGAGTCCTTCAGGGAGGTCAGGACTGCCTGGTAATCCATGGTTCCCACTCTTCTGTATGAGATGCTTTAGCTCTGTGGGTCAGACTTGCAGGGTGGTTCCTTCATGGTGGGATTTCTTGAGTCAGATTTTAAAAAATTGATGGATGAATATAGTGGTTAACTATTTTGACAAGTACGGATATTAAAGAAAGACTGATCATCATCATTTCATAGAGGGATAATTTAGCATCAAAAATGGTAAAGGGGGCATTGCACACTGATGAGTTTTACCCACCAAACGTCCTTTCACCTGTTTTAGGTAGCAGCCCCCAGTTTCTTGGTGTCCCCTTCTCTCCTCAGCAGTCAGCCCCTGACTCAGAGCTGAAGCGTGGGCCAGGGATAAACCAATTAGGGCTTCCATTTCCTCCAGCCCCAGCGATGGAGCCTGTGGGTCAACCAGATGCAGTGAGGCACAAAGAGCCTTATGGGGTTCTGGGAAAGAAGCAGCTGCTCCTTCTTGCTGAGCTGTAACCTGAGAGGAGACAGTGATGGGCGTGGGGCTGCCCTATTGCTATCCCGTGGAGCCTGAAGCCTGCACAGAAGTAGTCAAGAGTGAAAAGACGAGGACCTTGCTGGAGCTCCAAGTCCAGGCACACCTAAAGCCTCTGGCTTTTTCATTAATATACACTTTTTATTTTAGAATAGCTTCAGGTTTACAAAAAAATAGTGGAAATAGCACAGAGAGTCCCCATAGACAACATACCCAGTTTTACCTAGTATTAACATCTTCTATTAGTATGGCACATTTATCTCAATTAATGAACTGATATGGGCACATTATTATGAACTAAAGTCCACATTTCATTCAGGATTTCTTAGGTCCCCCCTAACCTCCTTTATCCTGGAGCCTATGCAGGGTACCACATTACGTACGTGTAGGTCCCTCTCAGCTGTGACAGTTTCTTAGATTTTCCTTGTTTTTGGTGACTTTGACACATTTGAGGAGTATAGGTCAGTATAGGTTGTAAAACGTCCCTCAGCTGGGATTTATCTAATGTTTTTCCTCATGTTGTGACCGGGGTTATGTGCTCTGGGAGGAAGGCCACAGACGCAAACCGCCACTCTCACCGCATCATACCCAGGGTACATGCTGTCAACATGACTCAGCACTGTTGATACTGACCTTGACCACCTGACTGAGGTCGAGTTTGTCATGTTTCTCCTCTGGGAAGTTACTGCTCATCTCCCTTTCTAAGCTGTAGTTTTTGGAAGGAAGTCAGTATGTGCAGCCCATGCTTAAGGAGTGGGGATTTATGTTTCTTCCCCTTAAGAGTATCTACATAAATTATTTGGAATTCTTTTGCATGAATTCCTTCTCCTCCTTTTATTCAGTCAATCATTTATTTATGTAAGTATGAACTCTGGTGTATTTATTTTATACTTTGATGTAATCCAATACTACTTACTGATTTTGTTGCTCACATTGTCCTGGCTCTGAGCGCTGGGAGATTTCAGCTGGCTCCTCTCATTGTGGTGACCTGGGCTTTTCAGTGACATGAACTATCAGTTAATTTCTTTTTAGTCTAAGTCAGTTTAGGTCAGGGTTTCTGTCACTTGTAATCAAAAGATCCTTAATACATCCTCCCCCCGCCCCTTCAGATTACCAAAGATCTGTGTTTCATCTCTCAGTGGCCACAATACAAGCTAAGTCCTTTGGGACCCTCTGACCCTGATACCATGAACATGTCCTGTCCCTACCCTCTCCCTCCAGTTACCACAATTTCTTCCCAGCAAATAGAAAGAATCACCTCTATGAAAGACAGGTAGTTCAAAAGCCGAAGGTCTTGTTGGTCTGCCCTTACAGTGAACACATATAACTGTATTGCCCACTGAGATTACAGACCCAGAACCTTAATAAACCTTAAGAGAGAGTCTTTAGGTTGCATTACTTATTAAAATTTTTACAATATTTTTGTGTTAATGCTGCCAAATGACTGTTTCACACTGTAAAACACAGATCCTCCCTTGAGCTGTGGCAACCACTTTGCTAAGCACTGGAACAATGGCAGGAGACTCAGGACAAGAGATTGGGGCTGTACGTGGTTCAACTCCCAGGCTTGTGATCTCAGACAAGTCATGTAACCTCTGAGTTAGTAAAGGGGCACAGAGAGGAAAGGGGATTAAGTGACATCACATCATCATGATGTGATTTGGAGACCAAGTCTTGTGCATCTCATCTGCTGAACTGCTTGGCTTGCTGCGGGGTGTGGATGAAGCTCTTGAACTAGGGTTGCAAGATGAAATACAGGACACCCAGTTACCTTTGAATTCAAATATGCACAGATCTGAAACTCAGAGTTAACTGGGTGTCCTGTATTTTTGTTTGCTCAATCTGGCAACCCTAACCCAAGTGTCCTCCCGTGTAGTTTCTTTGGGTCACGTTCCCCAGGGAAGGCGACTCTGTAACTTCACGAATAAAGAACCCAAGCAATGTAGTGTCCTGGGAAGAGCAGGGCTTTGTGGTCAGATTCTCATGAGTTCAAATCTCTGCTCTACCACTTTGGGTAATTGCTTAACCATTCTGAGCTCAGTTTCCATACTTCATCGTGCAATGGATGCCCTTATAAGATTTTACATGGTTTCAGTAGGGATTAAATGAGCTATGGGTCTGACATCTAGTGGGTACTCAGTCAAATGAACTCACTCTTAACCAGACAAATGGACAGAAAGTCCTGAGAAGGCACGAGAGGAGATTCAAGGTCATGGCAAGGCAGCCTCCTCACTCCCAACCTGTCTCCTCCTCTGGGCCAATAGGATAGCCAAGTCCTCAAGCAGAGGCTGGCATGTGGCTGAGCATGGGTGCTCTATGAGGATCTCGCTGGGGACTGGGCCCTTCGCTGGAGCTCAGCATTTCCTTGGAGTTCAGCTTTGAGCTGGGCCTGAGGTTGAAGGCAGGAGCGAGTGTTGATAAGGTGTTGGAAGGGGCTGGTTCTGGGAGACGAACCAGTTTCTGGGGGAAGCCAACCTTACTCTTCACGAACAGGTCAGGTACAGAATAATGACAGCTAAATTAATCAAGCACCGAGTGTGTACCAGCCACTGTTTCATATATTTTTACGTATTAATCCTCTCAACTTTTTACTTTATTGGTGTAGAAACTAAGGCACAGAAGGATTAGGAAACTTGCCCAAGGTCACAGAGTAAATGGCCAACCAGACATCTGTGTTCTACTCAAACACTTTGCTCTGCAGGCGGAGTTTGAGAGTTCTGGGAAGGACCACTTCCCACCTTCTCCTTCCAGTCCCCACCAGCCTGGCAGGACCTGAAATTCATCTGGGAATCCAGCCTCAGTGAACGAGGAGGCTCTTCTAGGTGCCAGGCATCCGTTAAGCCTGTGGAGTATCTTATTTCATTTAGTTCTCACAACAGCCCTCTGAGGTCGGTATGGTTGTATTTTCATTATGTAACTGAGGACTCTGAAGTTTATACAACTTGCCCAAGGCCATAATTTACAGGGGCCCGTGATTCACACCAGAATTTTCAACTTGCAGGTGCCTGGAGGTGTCAGGGAGGGGAGGAGGAGGCCAGGGATGACCTTTCCCCTCCGTGCCAGCCCTGGGAAGAGGTGGAAGTGCCTGCCTTACGCCTTTGATTTATAATGGGGCAGGGGGTTAGTCCCAGCTGTCAACTTGGGAAGCCACTTGAGGACTGTATTTAAAAAACTCGCCTTGAGTTCATAACACTCAGGAAAAACAAAACAACAAATTCCAAGCAAACAGGAAAACGCCTTCAATGTCTGACAATGGGGGAACCAGTTAAATCACTTATGGTACAAGCCGTAATTTTGCAGCTGTTTAAAAATATTTTCAAGTACTATTAACATAGGAAAATGCTCCAGATGATATAAAAACATGATTATGTTTATACAACATGATCCCGATTAAATAATGATTATTTTGTATATGACTTATTAAACATAAAAAAAGGCTAGAAGAAAATACTCTGGAATGTTAATAGTGGTTATCTCCAGGCTGTGAAATTTTATGGCAATATAAAATTTCTGAATTATACTATTATGCATTTGCTACATATTTTACAAATCGTTTCGTTGACTCACAGACCACTGGAGTTGAAAGGCACAAGCTGGCACCCAACCAGGGCATTTTAAAGGTGGGAAACTGAGGCTGGCAGGGAAGTCAGGGTGAGACTCCTCGCACCCTGCTCCCGCATGCCAGCCTTGGGCCCCCACGGGTGGCCCTGGACGGAGTGGGGGGAAATCCCCGAGCACATGGGGCAGCAGGAGGGGCACCCCCCCCCCAGCCCAGGGGCATATCTAGAGCGCACAGAGGAGGGGAGCAGGGAGGGGTGCAGGTGGGTGGGGGCTGGGTGGAAGCGAAGATTGGGGACCTTTAAAAAATGGAAACCAGATGAGCTGTTCAAAGGGGAGCACATTCTCCAGGCGGCTCCTTTGTTGGAGTGTGTGAGGCGGCGGCGGCAGCTGCGCCCGCGCCCCCAGCCCAGGCCCGATGGGGCGGACACGGATAACTGCATTAGATGCACTCGGCTCTTTTCAATAAAATGCTCTTGTTGGAGGCACAATACGGGGAGCGGGGCAGCCACCTCAGGCCGGGCCAGGGCCCCCTGCCCTCCCCCGGGAGCGCTGAGAGCACACTCATTTTTCAGGGCTCGGCTAATTGACGTTTGGCCGCCGTGTGGTTCAAAAGAAAAGGCCGAACTCAAGTCCACTTCCACCGGAAATGAGGCCGCCCCTCCCCCACCAGGGTCGGTCGCTGGGGGCCCCGGCGGGGACCACAGTGCAGCTGGCCACAGGCGGTGAGGGGGACACGCGCCCTGCAGAACCCTTTCCTGTGTTGCTTAGACTCGGAATAGAAGGTGTCTTGAAGGTGTCTCCCCAAGGGCTTGGGTACCCAGCCTTCTAGTTTCTGTGGGAGAAATTAACCTCGGGAAGGAGGCAGGTGACAGCTGCAAGTGTGCAAGACAGTTTCAGGGCTGGAGGACTTCAATAGCGATTACCAAATGGCACATTCTTTTAGTGAGTCTAATAAAGATAGCCCAGAACATTCTTTATAAGTTAACCAAGAAAAAAAAAAGAGAGGAAAAATTGGGTATTTCTTGCCCCCTAACCAAGTTTTATCTAGGAGTGAGGTATTTACATCCCTGTTTTACAGGTGTGCAAACCAAAGCTTAGCGCGGTTATTGGCTTGCTAACATTGCATGTCCAGGACAAGGCAGAGCTGGAGTTCGTACCCAGGTCTGCCTGGCTTTAATGCAGGCTCCCAGATGGGGCGTTACTGGCATGTTGGCCTCGGTAGCTCTTTGTCTATGGGGCTGAGCTGCGCATCGCAGGATGGATGACAGCGTCCCAGGCCTTCACCTTCTAGAGGCCAGCAGCACCGCCCCCTCCTAGGCGTGGCCACCAAACACATCTCAGGATACTGCCAAGGGTTCCCTGGGGACAAAGTCACCCCCTGTTGATAACTACTGTTTTTAAAGCAACCCTGGCATACTGCATGTGCTGGCAGGCTGGTTTTTGCTGGTCCCAGTAGTTCATCTTTTGGGGAAACCAATTTGATCAGCAATGCGGGACTCTTCTGATAAAGGTTGGCTCTGTGGTTTGCAGAGGGTGTGCCAGAAGAGCTGGCTGTATCAGACAAGGCCGAACCGTTGGGACACCAGAACTCACAGCTACGCTGAGTGCTGGGGGCATGTTGAACTGGGCATCTGTCTGCCTGTCTGGAGTGGTCCTCAGTCTCTTCAACTGCTCTCCTCATTTCTCTCGGCCCAGGCTGTTCCACGGAGGGTGAGCCAGCCTCCCTCCTCCATTCACTCTGCCAAAGAGCAAGAGTAGCCTTGGCCACTAGAAGAGCTAAAACAGCAGGAAACACAGCCAGTGCAGGCAGAATGAGGGAAGGTGATGTCACTTGTGCAGAATGGAGCCGTGCCTCCTTGTGAAACAAGAAGACCTTGTGGCAGGCAGCCAGCCCCACCGTTGGTGCCCTGGATCGTGGCAGGGGGCTTTAGCCTGATTTTTTAAGTAAGTGCTCACAACATTTTTAGCTGCTACTTGTATGTGACCCTTCCTCCACCCCCTTGTCCTGCTGTGGCCTGCTGCTGCGTTGGCTTACTGAATGTTCCACCCCCCAGTCCCCAAAGCTGCTCAGGCCACTCAAAAGCCAAACCAAGGCTCTAGGGCCACGCTGAACTGAGGGCTGGTTTAGTTCAACTGCCTTTTTCGCACTTAGAGTTGATTGATAACTGGCTCCATCATATTTGTTTTTCCACTTCTGACCTTCCTCCTACCCAAATGGCTGTATTGACGTTTTACTGGAAATGCCATTAACAAAAAACCCATCTGGGAAGAGTGTCAGGTCCCTCGGGAAGTCAGAGACATTAGGGCCTCAGTGTCCTCAGTGCGCTCCCCGACCACATACAGTTCATGGGTCAGGGGCTCGGAGGCTTGGGCACGAGGTGAATATTTTTAAATTGAGCCCTGTTAACAAAGCATAGAGGACAAGGGCTTGAGAAGTTAAAAGAGAAGAACAGACATCTGGGAAGAAGGGGCGTGGGAATTTGGGATAGTACAGAGCAATCAACATTTCAGATAATGAAGGGTCAGGACTTAATGGAAGTTTGTTTCTGTACCTTGCTCATCCTCTAATATGCCTTTAAACACTTGGGGCAAGTGTAAAGCGTGTGCATCACACACACACATTCTTAGTTAGCTTTAGCGTGGCGTGAGATACCCATCTTTTCTTTTCACTCTCATAGTCAATGATACCAATTTGGTGGCCAGGATGTCTTTCTAAAAGGACCGTGTTAAAAAAAGAAGACACAAAAATAAGTATGTGCAAACGTGTGTGTCTCCACCGTATGTAACGGCTTTCTTTTCTTCACATGCCCCCTCCCCTGGGTGGTTCACGCTCACCCC